GTTCTTCTTACGTGTTTCAATGCAGAGATTTCAGGTTGATTATGATGATCTTAATTTGCGCTATTTAAAACAACATAAATTACCAAGTGCTTCATCATTTTAGATAATTGTCTAAAGAAGCAGGACAATGACAGACACAAGAACAACACATTTGACTGAAAACAAGAATGACACAAAAACAAAACCTAAATGGAAAAATCATCATTTTAAAGGGTTTAAACATCATCACATCATGTTCACCATCATCATTTAGTGTTGGTATGTATAACATGAACTTATTAGAACAGCCGAGTCTCATTCGTCTTGCAGGTATTTTTTGTTCTTAAACGTATTAAATATTTGACCTTATGAAGGCGCTAGAGCAAAACCAGGATCACCAAAAGGTTTTGCAAATCATCCTGAGGGTAACCTGAACGCCTGTAGTGAATTACATGCCAATCCATCCAATCGCTGTTCAATATGAACCCAATGAACACACCAACGTTGCCATCTATTAGGCCATGTAAAGTATTAGTAATTGAGCTAATTGTAAAAAATTATAGGAAGATTTTCATGCTACTGCAAGCGGATGATTTTGTCCTGATCCCATGTCTGTAGCTCCAGGGAAGAATCCATTACTGTTGAGGTTCGGGTTGAAGAGGTTAAACCCAGCACACTCCGATGTGCAGCTCATGAGATCAATACTTCACTAGAGCTGTGTGGGCTTCACTCTGAGACATTACTTTATTCTTGTCTCTTTATACTGCTTCGCTCAATTTACCCCGTCAGGTCTGAAACAAAGACCACCAGGATTTTCTTATGAAACATTTACTGATAAATGGTTATGCTTACCCTTCGTACAGCGGCTCCAGGGGGCAAACATGGGGCGAGAGACGGGGAACACCTTGGATTGGTCGCCAGTCAATAGCAGGGCTGCTGGAGACAAACAGCCATTCACACTCACACCTACGGGCAATTTAGAGTGACCAATTAACCTGATTCCCTGAGCATGTCTTTGGATTGTGGGAGGAAGCCGGAGAACCCGGAGGGAACCCAGAGAGGCCAGTGGGTGGAGTCGAACCCGGGACTTTCTCATTGTGAGGATACAGTGCTAACCACCACACCACCATGCTGCCGCAGTGGTAAAATTGTCTTTTAAAATCCACTTCCTTGCTGGCTAGATGCATGCTGTGCCGCCAAACATCATTAAAACATCCAAAACATTTTGTTTAATATTTAGAACAGAAACACAAAGCTTGAGATACCAAATGCATCAGGTTGAGTTTTAATTAAATTACATTTTTTGGTGAAAAATAGACAATGTCTATAGACAAATATTGGCACTGCTAATAATTGGAGGACAACGGTGTTGTCACACAAGCCTGCTCACACACTCACCCTAATTGGCAAGTAGATTTGTGAATTGGTCCTCTATGGTCCCATATATATCTTTATTTCCCTGAGGAGCAACTGCAGTGATAACAAAGAAAAAAATACATAAATTAGTGAAGCATTTTTCTTCAAGCAGCTACCAGGTTCTAAAAATGATTTGTCTGAAGGAAAACAAGGGCATATCACTGTTTTTCACGTCCAACTACTCTCTCTATGTCTCCAGTGCCTCGCTGTGTGTGCCATTCACAGTGTGGGTTGGTTTCGTCATGCAGGGATTGCAGGAATATAACGCTTGCGCTTCAGCTCAGCCAATTAGGTATGCGCGTCATGAAATGAGTTGATAAGGACCAATCATAATTGAGCTGGCATGCATATTAATTAAACAACAACACTGTGTTTAATTGGGCCGAGGCACCCAGGGTCCTAGTGCTTGACCCGTTTTGTTCAAGGACTAAGAGAGAGTCAACGTTAGACTTCACAACTGCAGATGAATGTATGAAAATTCCTTTAAAATAGAGTTAAGTGTATCCAAAAATCTGTCTTTTTTGCAGGGAAGCGATTTATTTTTCAGGGAAAAGGTATTCTTTGTGGTACTTCTGCAGTGGGGTCTATCGAGGTCAAAAATACTTCGTCAGTTAGTTTAAAAGAAATGTTTTTTGTTTACTTACAGAGATGCAGCAGTAAATTATTGATTGTGTGTGTGTTTTTATACTCACTATGCTGATGGTTTCCTATTTATTTCTTCCCCTAAAGCTTTTTCGCTTGGTCTGCATCTGGTTGCTGTGGCAAAAACGGTAGAGGATAGATAGACACACTCGAACAAAGACGTCAAAGTGCACTCCGCTCCTGCTAAACTGAACACACTCTGCTCCGTGGCTCTGTTTAAGTGTGTGTGTGTGTGTGTGTGTGTCTGTGTGTTCAAGCGAGGCAGAGCGAGGAGCACTTTGCCGTCATTAGGTGAGATCATGTAGAGACAGGATGACCGGGTTAATTTTTAATGTCCAGCCTTTGGATTTATAAAATATGTATTCAGCCCTTGTTGGACATGACATAGACTCTTTACATTTCTCTTCCTCTTTGCCTCCCTCTCCTCAAGTCTCCATCGTTCTTTCACTCTTTTTTTAGCTCTTGTCTGCGCGCTCTCTCGTCCTTCCTCCCGGTGTTTGGCCTCGGTTCACTCCCTGTCTGGTCTTCTCTCTTGGTGTCCGTCTGCCTCCCTTCTCTCCAGAGAAGAACGCTCCAACTGAGAACCACACAGAGGAAAGGTGTCGTTTGATGAGCCTGCCGGAAACGGCTCGCAGCGGCAATGCTTTGGTTCTGCTTCTGCTATTTTTCTCTTGAGCGTGTGTGTGTCTCCGTCTGTATGCTCTTCAGATTTATCAAGTTGTTATCACTGTCATGGGATCAGCCAACCCCCCACCCACACACACACACACACACCACTACCACCACGCACAAACACACACAGGCAGAGCCAGCATGGAGGCAACTACATCAACACTCACAGGGACACACACTTGATGTTAAAGCTTGCTTGTGTAACCGTGATACCGGTGTCTCTGAGATTACTAACAGCTGATTGTTGCCGTGGTGATGTTACAAATACAATCGGTGTTGGGAAAACTAATCAACCACTAATTACATTAATTACACACAGAAAAAAATACTTATTACTTTGTTATTGCCTGACTAGTAAAATCAATTAGTTATATTGGTGTTACAGTTTTGTTCTTTTAAAAAACTTAAATTCCTCTACACACAAATTTTGTGTAAAAATAGAAAACATTACAACAATTGCAAAAAAGCAGTAGGTTACTAATTTGTACCCTTGCTATGCTGTTTGTGTCTGACAGTCAACAGCAGACTGCAGAACAACTAGAAATTATGTCAAATTAAATATTGATTCAATAATGTGCTCTGTGTAGCGTGTCTGTGTGGTAAGCCTATATGTGAACTCCTGTGTATTGCACACAGCGTACTCATTTTATTTTTAATTCTTATCATTGTTTGTTGCATTGTACATGCACTGAAAGTGTTGTTTGTCCTGCTTGGGTTGGTGTGTAACACGAAGCTCTTCTGTTGATGCTGTCGTAGTGGACAGTCAACTTAACGTAATGTTTTTATTCAGCCCTTTCTGTTTTTACCATTTTTAAGTGGCTGCTTTGACATTTACAGGGACCATCTTGCTTTTTGCTTGTGGCCAATCTGTCAGCATCTTGAGTTTACTGCAATTACTGCACATAACAAGATTGTTTATTGACAAATGGAGCATGATTCATCAAGAAACACATTTAAGCCTCGGTGAGAGATTGCAGTGTTTACCAAACACAACATGTTTGTGTAAGATGACTGCAGTGGCTGAACAGGGTCATGTATGGTGCTGATTTCAGGGTTTAGATGCTGTGTAAAAGGTACTTTTATTATTATTATTTTTACATTTTATAATTTTTCCTGCCTCAAAAGGTAAAATTGCTATTGTTTGTTCACGCAGGAGATTTTTTTTGAGAAGAGATGGACTGGAAGAGTAAAGGCTGCATCTTAGGGATGTATCTATTTTAAATAAATAACAATATTCATTAAGGTTGGAAACTATTTGACAATTAGCCCGGATGACATGAAATCTGAAAGAGGACAAGTGTTGACGCTGCTGGAGGTTAGGCGGGTGTAACATGACAATTATTAGTAAAATCTCCCCCATCATCACAAAGTTCATGGTGAAGATGTGGGAGGAGTCAGTGAAACTGATGAAACATTAGTTGGTAAAAAAATTCCCAAGGTCCAATCAAATTTGGATCGAGATAGTGGTTTATTGGTGTAACTGAACAAAGCGCTCTTTCATTTGATTTGCTGACCTGAGCGGTTTACTGAGAATCAAGCCTTTCAGCTAACAGCAGTGTTCACTCAGTCACTGTCAATGACTCATCTTATGGTGCGTATCAGATGCAAATATCTGCACATAGAAATGCTAAACTAAAAGCTAATGACACCACGTAAATCCTCAGCTTGCTTTAAAACTAAGACCAAAACAAACCAGCTGGTTACTGACACGGCAACCATTTGATGGAGGAGAAAAACATCCGGGTTTCTGCTCGAATCTCAAGCATTTCCTTTACAAGAAAACTGAGATGCTGTTAACTGAAAATCCCTATTATATCGAGTGGATGGAGTCCGATTTTACAGCATCCTGACGTTAGTGACGATTGGTAGTTACAGATTTTGGGGCTAAGGACCGATCTGTGTTGTGTCTGTTTATGTGTGTGTCTCCAAATTAATCCGGCATCTGCAATGTATGTATGCAATGAGCAAATACTGACAGTGCAGCAGGTAATAAATGCTGAGTGATTATGTGTTATTTCATCTGCATGTTAGGAGGCTGGAATATGACCTCAGGAAACATTGAAGCTACGAGATCTAAAAGTCGCTGACACACACGTTTCACCCTCACAGAAATACATGTACATCACAAGTATCACCCAGAGGACTGTTTGCTGTGGCGCAGCGATGCAGCTGTGAGCGTTATGGGATTCATCATCACCGCGGAGGGGAACATTGCTTGGAATGAAAGTGGCTGACTGCTCACCACACAATGCCCTTAAATTCTAACATTTGTATGTTTCATGTATTTACAGAGGGACACCAAAGGTCAGTTCCTGCTGGACCATGTGTGTAACCACTACAATCTACTTGAGAAAGACTACTTTGGTATTCGGTATGTGGACCCCGAGAGACAGAGGGTAACTATCACACGTCTGATGTCTGATGTCTTTACTATACTTGTGTTATCCCTCCAAAAGTCCAAAATTCAAAGATATGCAGTTTAAAAATCTATTAGACAGAGAAGGAGGCCAATCCTCAACAATATTTGTTGTTTGTTTAACGGTAAATCAGATGATTAACCAAAGTGGTGACGGAATTGAAGAACTGTCTCATGATCAAGGGGAAAATAAATAGTTGTAAAGTTGCACCCATTAAACCCATTTTGTTTGTATTCATTTTTCATGAAACATTACAGTGGAAAGAAGTGCCCAAATGAATACAAGTTGTATTATCTCTTGATCTAGATGTTAAGCCTCTGTAGCATACTTTTCTTATCCAGACATTTATAAAAAACAATTCCCCATCAAAAGTAAACGTGTGGTCGCACAGAAGAAGAACAAGAATAAAAACTCTAGTGACTAATAGAATACTGCTCCACCAGCCAAAGTGTGATGGGCCGGATGCCGGAGGCAGTTCAACTAATAGAAATATGCAGCCGAAATCCGTCTGCATATTTCAAACAGCGCTCACACAGAAGAGACCAGGCGCTTTGTCTCTGCAGAAGCTCTGACGGCCTTCAACGAGAAAACCAGAACAACAACACCAACATCATGAGTACAATAGAGTACGGTGAAGAAGAAAAAAATGATGGCATCAGTGGTTTCTATCTTCTTGCGGTTGTTTCAAACACTTTATGTTGTGATGAGTTTGAATGAATGTCCAAATGTGCCAAATGGATGCAGGGTAAATCCTGTGCAACGTTTCCTAAAGCAAAAGCAAGAAGAGATTTTTGATTTGTAATTGAAATTACAAAATCTTCCTTTTGTAGCTGCTCCGCTCTAAAAGTGAATATCCTTGTGTGAAGGTAACATTGGTCTTCTCTTTCTGTCTGTCTCCGTCCCTCAGCACTGGCTGGAGCCCAACAAGCCTGTGGTGAGACAGATGAAGTGTAAGTGTCACTTCTGCTCCCTTTGTGTTGTTCTGTGTGTTCTGCATCAGTGTGAGTGCGCACAACAATGAACACGGCAACCAGACGGCGGCGCAGAGACTCTGACACATAAAGAGCCTCGGCAGCATGCGCACAAGGCCGCCAAAGCCACTGGACGTTTGAACAATTTAAAAAGCAAACACATCACGGTGTACGCTTGTTAGATGGGTCATGACGTGTGGTTTTTTTTTTCCACTGCGCAAATAAAATGTGTCTCATCCCCGGGACACGTAGCTCGCATTACCACTCACTCAGACGGCCCCACAGGCAGACAAACAGAGACAGACAGAAGGACACAACAAACCGCCGGAGGGACAAGTGACCCATCTATGAATAAACTAATAGACAAAGTGAAATGCAAAGTCAGAAGGCAGCAAACATCAAACTAGTAAACAGGCGGCCTTCAGTAGACGTGTACAAGTTAACGGGGACAAGTGTCGGGGTCGGTGATCGGGGTCGGTAAGTGATGATGGATTTAAATATATGGAGAATACTTAAGACTACACTAACCACATACAGCGACACAGAGTGTGCAGGTTTTTGTCAACCATCACCAATGAAAGGATGCAGATCTTATCTGAGCACCGGTACATTGGAGTCTTCGTTGCTTTGGGTTAATGTGAAGTTGTCATTAAACTTTTAAGACCTTTTCAGGGATACGGATGAACTGATTGTCGATGGACTGTTTCACAATCTGCTGCTCACAACCTTCTTACGTTTGGTTTTTATTTCCCTCTTGATGTTTTCTTCTCATACAACTCATATTAGACGATGCCCATCTTCTTATGCTATGCTACGAATCAACAAGAACATTGCAACAATTTGACTATTGTTCAAATGTAGAATCCATTTACTCAAGTACTAAATTGTATTGTAAAATCTATACTTTTTACTTCTCTACATCAATACTATAAGTACAATGTGATGATAATGCTTTTACCCTGTAGTCTAGATTATTACTGTATTATTGTGTATTTTGACACCATAGTTAACTGAGATCTTTATCTCTTCCTCCACTGATTTAGACCAAAGTATTTAAACACATTTTCCCTTTCCAGCCACCTATTATCAAGAAGCAGACATTTTATTTAGAATCCAATGCACCTTGGTGTGTCCTCAACCTCTTCTTTCATATTTTTACACTTCTACTCAAGAAAAATTGTCTTTATAATGGACTGAAACCAAATCTCAACAGCGGTGCTCGTCAATCATCTGTGCAATCAGCTAAAACATATCTGAACTTAGCCCAGCCCTTTAAATTACTATCCCGTGCTTTCTGCGCTGCCATAAATTAATAAAGGAGCTGTTAGCGGCGCGCTCTGCTTCATCGGGACATGTGCGTGAGGGGAGGAGGATGGAGCACGGGGGGATGGATGGAAGAGAGGAAAAGAAGGGGGAAACGAGTGATACAAAGGATATGCGTGTGTGTGGGTTAATTCAGAGGGGCAGAGAGAGAGGAAACAGTGCAATGAAATTGCTGAAGAAAGAAGTCACACTAGGGAGGAAAACACTGGGAAAATAGGAAATTTGAGAGATATTCGGAGATGAGAGGTTGAAGAAAGATGAAAGATGGAGAGTTAAGAGAGCGCGGCAGAGGACGAGTGCTGAATAGATCTGAATCGTACCGACACAGTGTGCGTTTTGTGCCAACTCACTTTCCCCTAAAATGCTTTTGATTTTGTTTCTTTTTTAAATTTTTAAAAGCATCTGGTCCCCTAAGCCAAAAAGCAGCTCAAATTCTTTGAGCGCGGGCGGGAGGATTGCGTCTTTCATATCGCTGAGCATGTATAATGTAGATGTGTGCTGTTTTTCATAGCTAGACAATACCGCAGAGGGTCCCCCCCATTAAAGACAGAGCGGTGAGGGCAAGTTAGATGACATTCTTCTTCCTCTTCTGCCATTTTCTGCCTCCTTTTCTGCTTTTGTGGTTCAGTTTATGGTTGTGTTGTATGTCCTGTGAGGACAATTGAACTGCAACATCGCTGATTTGTCATGTGCAAAGTTTTTGCTACACCCTAAAGTGACCAGCAAAGAAATTTGAACAGTGAAATCTTTACTACAATAATTGCTAGACACATAACAGCATGTAAATACTCTAATATTAACCACAACGCATTGACTTTTGAATGCATGGACTCCAGGTGTGAAGTTTATACTGCCTCATTCGAGACATTGTGTTCCAGGCCGCGTACTTCAGTTTCGTAAACATTTCCTTTTTCCCCACATGTGTCAGTAAGCATTCTATTAGTACCAGATGCAGACAACAAAAAGGCACTGGCAGTGCTTGAATAAAGAAATAATATTGACAGGAAACAGAACGCAAACAGCTCTTCTGTTGCAGCTGACGACTTCAATAAGTAAACTCCAATATTAGCATGCGTGTGCACCAATGTGTGTTAAAGTGCTATTCTGAGAGATCAGTGAGACTCTGGGAGGCAGTTTAGCCTGCTGCTGTCGTATGATCCGAGCACCATGTCATTGTGCGTGCGTGTGTGTATTTTACCATGCCTATCAAACTGTCATTTAAAGCCCAAATGTTTTTCCGGCCGCAGCTACACACACAAACATACACACACACAAGCACACACACAGCAGTAATGAAATGCATCAGATCAAAGGGAAAGCGTGGCGCACTAAATGTTTGTGTGTACGTACGTGTGCGTGTGCGTGCGTAACGTCTAATTACTGTAATTATCAAATGACTCATCTGCATTAGAGGCGTAACCTGGTTTCTTTTTTTGTCTCCGTCTTCTATATCTCCTCCGTTTGGCTTAATCCTCACTGCTGTGCTCCTCTTCATTTATCTCTCTTCTCTTATCTCGCCTATCCTCTTTTTTCCCCCTCTCCTCTCCTAATCAAAGACATCTTATTGTGTTCTTTCATCTTCCTCCTTCCTTCCTTCGCTAAATTCCTCTCTCTTCTAAGTGGTCTTCTCTTGTTTTCAGCAGCTCACCAGCCGTACACCATGTGCTTCCGGGTCAAGTTTTATCCACACGAGCCGATGAAAATCAGGGAGGAGCTCACCAAGTAAGAACTAACACACACACAATATATAGTAGGTTTATGAGGGATGATGCAATGTGAGAAAGTGTTGAAAAAAATAAAGAAAAAAAACCCTGACTGGCTTTTTAGTGCCACATGTTCATACACATACGCTTAATTTCTATAGCTTGATAGTAAAGAAGTTTAAGGTTGAAAAGGTTAAAAAAAGGATCCAAGATAGTGGCTGTTTACATGTTATTGACAGCCATAGCAGACATGCACGTAGTCTTTCAAAAAGAGCAGTGTTTAGTTATCAGAAAATGTAAGATCCTCAACTCATAATATTAATATTAAAATATTAATATTAAAACATTATGTTTTTACAACACAATTTTGATTGCTGGATCATCCAAGCATCCACTTCCTTCTCGTTTTTGAAAGAAAATATAATTACTTACTCAATAGAGAAATACTGATGTTTCACCAGGTGCTAATGTCAAAATGCAGATAGGCAATAGAAAGGTTGTCTTTCACTCATTCGTCACACAAAGTATTTTCCCGTGTGAAGTTAATGACCAGCTTCAAACCTTCTTTCAGTGTTCGCCTCCTTTGCCTCCTCAGGCAATTATGTCCCTTATTAAAACAACCTGTGCGTGGTAGATGTGATTGGAACAAACACATTTCTGTTTTAAGGAGTCGCTGTAACTTCTGGGGTAAGCGGTAGTTCACACAAACTTTATAATGACCCTGAAAACTGATGCACACGCACACACATACACACAAACACACACACACCTTCTCTCAGGCACAGCGAGAGAAGCTCTCTCAGCAGGGAGCTTTCCAGTTCTTCGTCCCATCTGCGCTCACCGACTGGCTCCTTTCCTCCATCCTTGCTTTGCCATCTTTCTCTCCATCTCTCCATCTCTGCAGTCTACACAGTTTTTTTTTATTTTTATAGCTGGTGTCTCCTCTCTCCCTTCTGTTGGTCTCGCTCTGTCCTCCTGCTCCCTACCGGCCCACTCAGCTCCCAAAGGTGTCCCTCCACATCTCTCCTCTAATGTGGGCTTAACTGTCCTCAGCGATTAGAACTTGAACATTGTCAACCTCACTCCCCTTTTCTCTCTGTTTTCTGAGCTTCACCTGTCGTTTCTCTCTAGATTGTAGGTTTATGGTCCTTGCATTGAAACAACTAGATAGAACTGCATGTGTATGTGTTCATCTACTTTTCTGGCTCGTCTTTGAGAGAAAGCAAACCCAATCTCCGTATGCTCAAGGAGCACAATTACACTACATTGATATGGATGAATCGGGAGTGGACATAAAATCAAGCTAAATTAAAAGTTCAGAAGAGTCAGTCAGTGATGACATCCGATGAAATTCTCGCTATCAAGTTTTTTGGGGAAAGATTTTTTTTTTTACCATGAAAATCCCCCAAAATATTATGCTAATGTGTGTGTGTGTGTGTGTGCTGCATGTGCTCCAGTTCGCAGGATATCATTTGAAGCAACCAAGTATTGTTATTAATCACATCCATAACCGATACTTTGTCCGCGCTAAAGCAGAAAGTAAGGTACATTACTTCATATCTACTGAAAGTCAGCATTGGTTCATGTAAAGAAAAGTTTGAATTACGTAAATGTCTCCAATTGACATTCTTGTCAGGGAAAGGATGCAAAAACCCTTCCAATGAACACTGTATATGTCGTCTCCGTTGATGGAGTTGAGCATTAGCTCACCTGTACAGGTGTATTGAATGGATGTAACTCATAGATCTCCCGGTGTGTAGTCAAGACACTGCTGACAAATTAAACCTCATATAAATTAAAAGAGTAATAATAAAACCACAGTGTGGGAGAAGTAAGGACAGATTGATTGAAATAAACTGGCTTGGAATATTCAATACATTTATGAGGTCTAAAGATTTGTAGTCATTATGAAATATGATTATATTCATACCACATCAATTAATGGAGGATGTACAGATGATGGACTTCCAAACACATACGTCAAGAGGAGCATAAAGGTGTAACTGCAGGATTGAAACAGGAGTTCAGGGAAGGAAGTAGACTATGGAAAGAAGAGGTATCGCTGCATGTGACATACGAGAAGGACAAAATTAAACACAACGAAGAAGGCATTTAAATAAAGAGTGCTGAGGCCAATACGAAAAACCTGCATGCCGGTTTTGTTGCTTCGGTTTTGTGGCTACATCAGCAGGCTTTTTGCACCGTTGCATCGTTCACGCTTCTCGTCTGCGGCTTCAGTTACACCATTTAAATGGGTGAGTTGATTTTGGTGTGAGTGGGTGAAACTCACCTGTAGCCATGGCTACCCTATACTTTCAGCATGACTTTCATTTCTTGTCTCCTCGGTAACACCAGACAAATGAGCTGGTCAGCAGCATGCTTAAACTTCCATTAAAGCCGTCTCCATAGTAACCACAGGGCCAGTCACTGCTGTACGGGTAATTGTTTTCATGGCAATGTTGGCTTTAATTGCCATAGTAGCACAGATAGACCATCATGGGACTGTGTGGGTTTTATGGATTTCATTGCTAAACATCTGGAACAATTAAATGTAGCATCCTACTATACACCGGCTTGCTGTGGACCAAAGACGCTTTCTATTTGAGTAACAAATATCAAGCTCATTCAGCACAAACACACATTTCTTTCTTCTTAACTGTGTGTATCCAGGTATCTGCTGTACCTGCAGCTGAAGAGAGATGTCTACCACGGTCGTCTCCTTTGTCCTTTTGCTGAAGCTGCATATCTCGGAGCCTGCATCATACAGGGTGAGGCCAGTGATCTGCTGATTTTCTTTCTGTTTCTGAGCTGTGTGATCACTAGAACTGTGGCGTTTAAACAAGTAGATGTGTACATGACATCATTGATGGCCCTTGGTACATTAGTGCTGCTTGTAAGGTTTTAATACTGTAATTTGTATATTAATCAAGTTTATCGCTCAGTGTTCTGTAATTTAATTAGCAGTCACTGCAGGATTTTGGAGCCTATCAAATATTTAATTAATCCTTTCTGTAGCCTATTATTTTGTTTCATTTATCTACTGGATGCATATATGGATGTGCTTCAGAGTAATCTAGAAGATATTCTTAACATTCATCATTTTCATTTGAGGTAGTTTATATTGTTTATTTTTTTAAATCGGTTTACAGTAGGCAACTTTTGGCATCTTCTTTAAGCGCTCTGCTTTTAGTGTTGTTTATGTTTCTGTGTGACTTGTTGTGTGATGTTGATGTGACTCGGTAACAGCAGAACAATCTAGATTGTTACTACCGTAGTAAAATTCAAACAATGTTTTTTTTATAGTTTGGAGTCAACTGTCTCTTTAACACTCAATATAATTAGGTTATGCCCATTAGGTTATCTCCATTTGTTCTGCTCCGATCTCCAATAGGAGCAGTCCTTTCTTCATCTTACTAGTACATACAGGTTAATAATGTGCATTATGAATAGAACTAGCTGAGCTGTATGATACAAACGAATCCCCTCTGGCTGATACACACATCTTTGAACTTTGCAAACACTCGGCTCATGTCCGCAGAGAGCAGAGCGTGACTGGTGAGTTATCTCGACCCAGAGAGGGTCCGCAGCGCATCACTGGCTGCTCTGATTAACGACGGCGGGTCCCTGTCCCACTTTGTCAGGGTGTTGATTACAGAGCTGGAGGATGGGATGAGGATTATTGTTTAATTAAACTCCAGGCAAGTTTCATATTTAACCTTTATTGTGACTGCCCATTAAGAACGGATTTGGAAAGAGAAATTAGTGTCTGTTACGGCTTTGTACTGGATTAAAAAAAGGCATATTTATCAATCAAGGTTATCTTAACTGCTTAATGCGAGTGTGCTTATTCTCCCGTGGAACTGGAAATGTTTCAAAAAGAGTTGTCTCCCTCTGCTTTCGTCTCAACTGCCTTTAGATTTGCTGATGATGCAAATATATGAAATCAGATTATAATAGCAATACATCTCATTCTCTTTCTGGTCAAGACCTTGATGAGAAGATTGATACAGCACTCACAACTATTTGTTGAAAGCAGGGCCAACAACTACTTAGCTTAGCATGTATAGACTAGATACCCATCCAGACGCCATTTCCCGTGTGTTTGACCATTGCTCCACTGACATCACTGTCCCATCACTGTCTTCAGCCGAGCTCGGGGACTACGACCCGGAGGAGCACCCGTCAGACTACATCAGAGACTTCAAGCTGTTCCCGAAACAATCCCTCAAACTGGAGAGGAAGATTATTGAAATACACAAGAACGAGCTCAGGTGAAAAACCCACTGCGTTTGTGTGTGTCTGCTGGGGTCTTTTGTTGTCTGAAGATGTTTGATTTTAATGACAGGCGTGGATGCTCACTCCTGTGATCTGTGTTTGCAGACAATGCGACGCGTTCTGTTGTTCTGGCAAGAGACAAGATTGGATGATACCCAGAGATGTGTGGTGCATTGTGTGCAGAGGTTATATAATACAAACTTAAATGACTTTGCAGGGGAATGAGCATGAATTGTTGATTTCCAGCTTAGTTTTGAAGCCGTGTTGGCTACTACGGGATTTTCTGAATTTGCATTTGGATTCAAAACAACCTGGAGGAAGTAAAATGAGCTGGATGTATTAACGGGCAAAACTCTGGCATGTTCTCTCCTTCATGAGAGCAGTTTGATATGGAATAAAATGCAATGAAAAAACCTCAGAATTAATAGAGCAGGAGATTAATGATCACAGACGTTGCTGCAAAAATACAATGATGAAACTACTCTGCACCGACTGAATAAATTCTAAAATCAAAAGATATCATGACAGACATTAATCTATACATAAATCCGCTCCCTCGAGGTGATTATTTGTATCATTGCTGCAGCTCAGCAGTAATGTCGTTGGGTTCGTGTCACACTGGCAGCGATTATTGAAACATGAAAGACAAATCCTTCATTTCCAGCAGCATAGAGGCGGATGATGCCGCGTGTCCTCTGTCTGTCCCCGTGGGTCTGATGGACGGGATTAAGAGCATGTCAATTACCAGACATGGGGAGGGTTGCACTGTGTGTCTGTAAGTTGACTTGTGTGTGTGCGCACAAGGATAACGTTGATTTATTTGTACGGTTTCAGGAGAAGAATCAGAAACCTTTACAACTATAATTACTTACTCACATGTGTTTATACTGTATGTGACATAACACCCCAACAATATCCATCCCATATACATTTTAGATTATAACTTTTTAAAAGAGTAATTCAATCAACACAGTAGCATACACAAAGAGGCATTCGCTAGCAGCATCGACGTATTGAATTTAAACTAAACTCCTCGTCTTGTCTCCTCTCCTTTAGGGGACAGAGTGCTGCCTTTGCTGAGTTGAACATGCTCCAAAGGGCTCACAGCCTGGAGACATATGGAGTTGATCCTCACCCTTGCAAGGTAACGTAAGCGGCTGTGAGATAGTGGCAAGATCCCTCTGATCAAAATGGTGCATCTCTTTTGTTTATTAACGTCATATCCGTTGTGCACTACGGCTTTTATATGGAAATTTACACATGTTTGTTATTGCTCTTGTCAAGTGGTTACAGTTTTAAAACTTACAAATATAAAAATCTGGCTTCTGGGGAGAGAGTCACTGTGCCAATTACATGCAAATTACGTGTCCTCTTCGCCTTTTGCTTATTTCCCCTTAATTTGCAGTCAAACAGGCGACTACACACATGATTAACTCAAATCTGAGAGGTCATCAAGACAGCAGTAATACTGAGGGAGACGGGGGTGAAATAAGTGAGCCTCTGTTTTACATTTAAACCCTTGCCAGCATCATTTTGGTAATCAGAAGAAATATGATTTGCACAGAAACCATCACTCAGAAGTCAATGTCCCTATTGATTAGTCTGAGAATATCATGGCTACAGTAAGTCCATTATATTCATATTATTATATGACTATAAGTCATTGGCTCAATCTCACCTATTGTGGTTCATGTTATATTCAAATGTGACCCAGTTGTTCTTTTCTATTTATATTTCTTTGGAAAACTTGTGATAATTCAAACAAACTGAATCTGATAAAGTATTATTTTGCATCTCGCTCTCTCTGTTTGTCCCCCGCTCAGTCACATATGTTAAACAGGGACACGATCGCGCGGCAGGCGTGTCAAAGCATGCTGGGCAGATTAACAAGACATTTAAATTTGTTCTTTTGGAGAGAATCCCCTTCATCTGCTTGCATCTCGCCAGTGGGGCTGTTTTTAACTTGTTTTGCTGGAAACTGCTGCTTTTGCACTACACGTTTGCAGATGCTGTGGAGGTAAAAAATGAGAGAAACTGTTGTGAACACAGGGAGAAAGAGCGATCTGAGAGGGACACAGATGATAAACAATGATGTGGCAGAGTGACAGGAACATATTGTGGTCTCTTCTTACTCTGAAGTTGGTATTGGTTTCATTTTGCTTCAAAGGATCAATTCTGTTCTGTATTTTCTGCACCTTGTTCCTGCAAATTTGAGGGTTGACGTTTTTCACAGGTGTAATGGCGATCACATGGGGATTATTGATGGCCCACTTGCTTCCCTGCTGTGAATCCACTTGCTTCCCATAATGCTGTGGGCTGCTACTGACTGCATGTGTGTGTGTGTGTGTCTGTGTGCGTTTGTGTTTGCAGGATTTCACAGGCTCCACAGCCTTCCTCGGGTTCACAGCCACAGGTTTTGTGGTCTTCCAGGGAAACAAGAGGATCCACCTTCTCAAATGGTACATTTTTTTCCCGGATTTATGAACATACATCTGTAAGCAGTGAAGTTAGATGTGTAAATTCTGTAAAATGTTTCTTTCCATCATCACGGAGCTGAGTAGAATCACTAATAGGAGCCATTCAACAATGTGGCCTTTGACTTAAGCAGCGATTTGTTCCATTGCACGAGGAACAAATCAGTTACTGTATACAGTGTTACTGTCTAATAGAACAATAGAACCTTTTTAACACGCACGTTAAGCTCAATGAAAACTCTTTTAGTCTCACCTCAATCATTTGCTGAACAAATGTGGTAGCATATGGCAATATTTTACTTTATTAGTTTTAACCTTAAAAGTAGTCTGGTACACTATGTGGTACAAATAAAAAATGCACTTTTAGCATTTATTGTTTATAGGTAAAGTGTTTTTATCCTTGATTTGAGTTCAAAATTTAACCTTTTTATTAAAACTTTTACTTAAGTTATCTTTGTTTTACATTTGAGTTAGTTAGTCATGATGTGGTGATTCTCTGCAGGGCTGATGTTAGCAAGCTGAAGTTTGAAGGAAAAACCTTTTACGTCATCGGGGTCCAGAAAGAGGTGAGTGCAGTGTCTCCTCCTGCATGCCCTCTCTCCTCTAAAGGGCAACAATGAAGAATAAAATATGCTGTGTAGTTTCCCAATGCATAATGGTGACTTGTGAAGTCTTGTGGTCATCATCAAGCTGCACAGTCACCATCCATGATTCCGTTCTGTGTTAGCTCAGAGTGTCCATCCTATACTCTCTTTGCTAATCCTTCTTTCATTCCCATTTTTTTATTTCCTTATCTGTGTAATGGTCCCATCAGTTAAATATGATATGAAACTATTAAACGTTTGCCTTTGCAACCGTGTCCACCATCACACAGACATATACAATACAGTTTGTGTGTGATGGTGCACCTTAACCGGTAGGGCTCGCTATAACAGGAGGGTGGGTGTGTTGCAACCAGCTGCCTCGCTCAGTCCATGTTCAGACAAAGGTCAACGTCCTCGACCAGCATAAATGACATGACATCTTTGAGGCTGACACAGCAGCTACTGAATAATGACATTATGTTAACAGGTCTCTTGCATAAGGACACATGTTTCATCTGCAGACTCGATGTTTGTCTTCCACTCCAGAGCTGTGGTGTAATGGTAATAATGGTCTATTCTGGTGCATTGTGCCTCATAAATGTGCATACCGATCTTTGTTTTCAAAAGCGCGGATTCTGTCTCATATTTCTTTTTGACTCCCATATTAATTAATTCAGTGAAGTGCCTTAAACACACGTGGTCCTCAGTGTAAGGTTGCTCTTTAATCGACCAATCAGCCAATCAATCAATCGCATTACAGAAGTTCAAACCAGCTCTGTCATCTCTGCTTAACTTTGTCCGTCTGTCTGTCTGTTGGCAACTCATGAATGGCTGAAGATGCAGTTTTATCTTTGTGTTTCTGTCTCTTCTCTCTGTGTGTAAACATAGTCATCACTGGTGAGTAAATATTAGAAATAATCGTAGCACAAAACAATTTGACGCCTTTCCCTACAGTCCTGCCTTCACCTCACATTATGACTGGAAGACGTTTTCACTGTTTAGTGTTCTCATCTGTTTTGTATCACTTTATACAAAGGTTTTCTGTCATTTCATTCATTCAGTGTTATTTTTTTACTCAATTGTCTTGTTATCTTGAGTCAATAACATGTTGTGCTCAAAGGTTAAAATTTCTATTAGCATCCCTGTGCAAAGCCGCGCTATGAGAATAAGATAAGATCCACCAGGAAACAATAGATTATAATATATTGAGTTCCATAATCTATACCTCCGTCCATTTCACGTTCTTAATGTCACACATTGTGTTGAGAAAATGTTTGATTTCTTTATTTTGACTGTCTCTTTATATACGTGTGTGTTGGTGTCTGTGTTTGCTTGTACTTTATATACTTACATTTTTCACAGTATTTTATCAAGATTTGACTTGTTGTGTTTATGTGCAGTCTTCCACTGTGTGAAGGGTCACTGCATGATTTCACTCTCCGCCCTCATCTGTTATTTAGCCTGGAACACAGAAACTTATCTGTCCCACTTTGAGCTGCAACTTTTCATGGCTTTATTACTGTGACGCTTGAAATGCAGTTTAGCAATTGTATAGTTTTATCTTCACCTATTAGTGACTTCTCTATGAAATAAAACGTCAAAGATTCATTTGAATGCTTTTGAAACTAAACAGTTGACAGCAGTTGAAAACTAGCCAGCCAATACGTGGATACCATTGAAACAGAATGCAAGTTAATGGTAAAAGCTGTTTGATCCGCATCAAAAAACATAGCGCAGTTGTGTAAGATTACTTTCTTATATCAGCCAAAGTGGGACCAAAGACAAATTGTTAATTAGATTTCCAAATCAAGTTGTGGTACTTTCACATGTATGACCACACCAACGCATACACACACACACACACACACACACGACCACTGCAGCCCATGTGTGTAAATCCCAACTACATACCTAATGTGACCAATGTATGACAGCGAGGGGGTTGAGCAATACGGCTGACTAGGTGGCTTCAGCAAAGGAAACTAAGTGGATCAGTGCGTTTTCACGTTATTGATCTGTGTTTCCTCTCTCGTTCACCCTCCACCCCGTCGTTGAGCAGAATTGATCCAGTACCTCATTCTACCAGACAGGACTGAAATTAGACTTTTACTGGAATACGTCCCATAAAAACACCATGTTCTGCAAGCTACAAGCGCTTTTACTGCTGAATAGTGTGGCCAAATCACTGTATCCGCCTTACACCGTCAAAGCTTGCGACTGCGGGTCCGTGGGTCAGCATTTTGCACAGCTCCCCCTTATCGAGTTCAGCACTTCTCTTGTCCTTATTCGCACGTCTTCTGGTAATCTCGTATGTCACCCTCAACGTCTCTCTCTGCATCTCTCTGTCTTTGTCATTTTCTGTGCAGAAGAAACTGGTGTTGACATTTCACACCTCGACCCCTGCAGCGTGCAAGCATTTATGGAAGTGCGGGGTGGAGAACCAAGCCTTCTACAAGTGCGTCTACACACACACACACGCACACACACACACACACACACACACACACACACACACACACACACACACACACACACACACACACACACACACACACACACACACACACAGGCGTATTTCTGGGGCATTACATTGACTTTCATTCATTTCTTGGACACTTACCCTCACCCTATGCTTCCCCAATGACAAAAAAATCTTTATCCCATTTGGGAACATTCCAATCCAATTTAAAGACTTATGCCCAATTAACACTGCATGAAAAGTGGGATTTTCGGCAGGATGCGTCACTGTAGATTGATGTAAACTTTTGATTGAAACTTGTTATTTTGAAATGTGTAGGGAATGTATTATGCTGCTTTAGAACTCAACACACCTGGGTACTATTCCAACCCAAAATATCCTATCCACCAAAGACTTACAGTAATATTATTTTAAATACAATAAAATATGATTTACTTTAAAATACTTCTATACTTCTACAATTGTCCTTTTGTTCTTACTCACATGTGGATACAATTATCTTTCCTTCAAGTCTGATTTTTAGCACATAATCGCTCCTTTCAAGTGACTTTCCTGCCTCTCTGTGGCTGTTCTTCAATACGCTGCTGTCCTTCACTGGGGGAGCAGCTGATCGCTGTGAGGCCTCGTTCTGAATTCACAGAGACTATTGACGCTGCCGGCGTGTCGGGAATGGAAACAGGCTTGGGGTGAAGGCGAAAGTGAGAGAATAGAGTGTAAACCCAGTCTGCGGTCATGGTTGTGACAAGGTTGCAGGCAACAAAATAAGTAAAGTAGAGCAAGTAGAGCCGACTCAATAAATTGATTATTTGGTTCGTCCAATCTCTCAAGCTCTAACAGTTTTCAAACAAAAATACAGAAACAATACTTGATTCCAGCTTTCAAATGTGCTGCTTTTCCAGATATTCCATCACAGAAAACGTAATATATTTACGTTTAGAAAACTATCATTTTAAAGAATAATTGGATGAAAATAATGTCACCCCACCAACATGGAAGAGAAGTACCTCAGGTGTAGAATTTGAACATCAACATGTCAAAAGCTAGACAGCTAGACAGCTTGAACCTTGAATGCACCGTGTGGTAAAATTGCAATTAGTTGTTGAAGTTTTTCCTTTACAATATATTGTATTTGCCACTACAATAAAACCGTTTTCTTATTTATTGTGTGAAATCTTGTTTACAAGAGCATACAAAAGGACATCATTGTTGTAGAGTTATTAAAGCATCCTCATAACAGCCCTGGACCTGGATATTGACTTCTTGCTGACAGCAGCTCATGTGTCCCTCGGAGGGGGACAGAGAGGGGGGGGGGGTCATCTCGAATGTCAGACAAACTTCAGAGCCACTTAATCACATCAGAGTGAATTGAGCATGTAAATGGCAGCCAAGCAGAGCTTTGCCGACATATAGTTTCTCTCTTTCTCTCACGCACACAAACAAGAGGAAGAGTTTAACGTTACTGTAACAAACCAAAACATTTTTTTGCATCTCTTTTTGTGTTTTCCTCCGTTGCACAGGTGTGCAAAGTCAAGCCAGATAAAGACAGTTTCCAGCAGTAACATCTTCTTCAAAGGCAGCCGGTTCAGATACAGGTGAGACTATTCAAGTTAGTTTTCATAAAGGACTTTGGTTTTCTTGCAGACAAGGCAATCTTGTCTAAGATGTCTGATATATGTTATCTGCAATCTACTTTTTAATTGTGCTTCATCTTTTTCACCAAACTGAGAAATATATATATATATAGCTTAGAGTGCATCAACATACTGTGTATTTAAATGATGCCTGTCCTCTTTTTACATCAGTAACAACATCCAGCTTGGCCTTGGCTTCTGCAATAGACTGACCCTCATATCCCAGGAAAGCGTCAATATATAAGTCTGTTATTAAAGCCACGTTAGCACTGATTCTCCCCTAAGACAAAGCTCTTTACCAGCATTACTCTTCAGTCTGCTCCATTTCATCAGCTAGCTAAAGCAGTCTGGCTCAAGGGCTAAATGATGAGTAGCAGCATGCGGTGGAGCTCGTTGACACATTTGTGCAGATGCAAAAAACAGAAAAGGCTTTGACGTCCACAACCAGGGTTTGTTTCTGTAAAGCAGAACCGATTAGCTCTTCATCCTATTGAATCAGACGACCACAGTTCCTTGTAGAGATTTTCCAGCAGAGACACACACATTTTCCATCACACAGTATTGCCTTAACTAAACACAATTGGCAATTGGCACAATTGTTTCATGTCATCGGCTTACTTGCAACCTAACCATCAATCTCACTACCAAACGGACTAAAGGGTTGGACGATGGACCCTGCAGACTTTAAACGCTGTGATCAGAGTTCAGATGGCCGACTTCATTCACAGCCATCAAACTAACGGAGCTACTGACCATTCATAGCAGCAGCACTGATAATGAGCAATAACTGCAAAACACAGATGAAAGGTCAAATGTGTCTCATCTGAAATTGTCCTTCAGTGTCTCTGGTCAAAAGCATCGTTGTGAGTTTAGCAGCTTTTCACTGGTTTGAGTCTTAAATGCAATTTCAATCCGAGTTGGCGGAGTTAATTTAGATCTATGTGTATTGGGAATATATTTTTTTGCCGTTTTAATTGATTTTCTTTTTAGTGGAGTGGAGTTTTGAAAAACGTAACGTGATGCATCAATGTGTATTTGTCCCTGTTAGCGGAAGAGTTGCAAAAGAGGTTATAGAAGCCAGCTCAAAGATTCAGAGAGAGCCACCAGATGTGCGCAGGTAAGGACAGGTGAAAATGGAAAAGACATATTACACTCTGTTATTATTACACCATCAATTAAGTCATTGCCTGTTTGTAGTAACACCCTGCTACAGAGAGATGTTACAATCAGAGATTTCATTGTGGAAATAGAGCAGACACGCTTTAATGAAGCTAGTTATCTCAACGTAACGCACAAAGCAGCCGTTGTTGTTTGTGTTTTCAGAGCGCAGTTTGGTCAGAGCCGAAGTTTTAACTCCCTCAGCCATAAAAACCTCATCATTAACATGGAGCCGCTGGTGCCTGCACTGCCCTCCACCAACGAATACGAAGAGACGGCCGCAGACGCAGGTGGGATGTTACACACACACACACACGAGCAGACGCTCACCACGCCCTGCAGCCTTAGACCTTTGGACAGTCGTGTGGGTCTGTGTGGGTGTATGAAGATGCACAACCCTCCGACACAGGGTGTTAATTGAGCAGCTGATGCTCTCATCCCTCCATCAATCTTGTCTCCCTGGAGACACCAATCGCAGCACGCTAAAAATACCTTTCCCATGATCCTGCCTGAGTTTAACCACCGTGCCCGTGTGTGTCTTTGTCTCCACGTGTCTGACTGTGTGCGTGTGCTGCAGAGGAAGTTGCACGGAAACAGAGGCAGCTTATGTTATCATTAAGGGAAACTCAATTAGAAGTTATTTGTTTGGCTCCGAAAGGTCTGTCCCTGTTTAAAGGCTTCATATGGTTCTGTTTACAGGGTGTCTGTTAGTTGCAATAGCTTTTCTATATTGGTACAGTTTATGTGAATATATATATATATATATATATATATATATATATATATATACATATAGTGGTTGATAATAACAAAAGTCTAGTACATACGCTCAACTATTAGTAGTACTAGTAGTTTTACTACTCAAATGAGTAGTAGCATCCAAATTTGTCTTGGAAGGTAATATGCATATGTGTTACATATTTTAGGGGTAATATGATTGTTTGTAAAAGAAAAGCGCCCTTTAAAAATACTAATTCCTCAGTTAATCATTTGTTTTTGGAAAATGTAAGGCAAATAAATAATATCCCATTTATGTTGAATTACGTTCTGGATTTTGCATAGTAGAGCAACAGGAGAAAACACAATCAAGCAGTTTGTATTTAAAGGTTCCTTTCCCCGTACACCACCTTCCCTGAGTAGTATGTGGTATCATGAAAAGTACTCACAATGCTGTGGGTTTTAATTGTTTCCCAAGTGACATTGATTGCATGTTATTGTAATTCTCTTTTATCTCCAATGCGACCGACTAAAGCATAAACCGTCCTGTTAGGAAGCAGAAAGCAGATGATATAATTTCACAAGACAAAACAAGAGCAGTGATGTAGTAAGAGGATTTACAAGAAATGGAGAGAATATGAGAGAGGAGGAAATGTGCTGTGCGGCTGAGAGGATGGACAACGATTAGGAAGGATGTGGTCAACACGCTCCACTCAAAATCAGGCTTTCAATAATAATGTTGATCTAACAGAAGAATTAGAAATAATGATTGTTGAACTAAAAGGTACGAGGTACAAGAGAGTAAACCTCTTGATCACCATGGTGACGCCTGAGCCAACGGCTCGCAGCCGACGATTCCAACTGCACTAACAGAACAAACGGCATCAATGCATCCAATATTGTCGCGGTAGCGGTACGGCGTCAGGATGCTCCACTACTGGTAAAACTCCTGCCTTCTAAAGCTTACCGAAATAAAAGCATGGAAGCATTATCAGCAAAAGTTTAATATACCTGATGTTTTTGGATTGATATTACTGCTGCATTCATTTGAATGTTTTATGTAAATGCTGTAGATGTTTAACATTGTGACAAATTTTAATTACTTCATATTCTGTTGGGTACTTAAATGTAGAGCAATATTAGGAACATCTTGTGTTTTAGTGCGTTGTCACACTGGAGACCTCTGGAACATCTTTACACACTGCTTACGGCTCCGATCAGTATTTATGTTGTATGGAGCAGAGTTATGGAGCAGAAATGTAACGTGATCTTGTCTTAAGCACAAGCAGCAGGCAGGGAGGGAGGGAGGGAGGGAGGGATGTCGGAGGTCTCTTCACCTGATGTTCAGTTATCTTTATAGGAGTGTAGGAATGCTCTCACTAAGACATGCATCAATCAAAGGGTGAGAGCATCATCACAAAAAGTGCCTCAACACGCTCACTGATTCCAGTAAAGCTTCATCAACATTTTTATCAACTCAATCCTGTTTCTATCGTCTGGGTTTCAGCAGCTAAAGTGTTTGCAAAGATTGTAGTTCGTAAATCGAACTGACACATTGTGTGTGTGTGTGTGTCTGTCTGTTTGTGTTGTAAACGTCTACAGTGTTGTATCTTCATGTATCCATCCATCTCCTCCACACATCACAGCACTCAACCTGTTTCCTTCCTCTACGAGTGCCAAACGCCTTCCCGCCTTCATGTTCACACATCAGCCCGACTCGTTGCCTTTAGGCCTTCACACTTGTAACGTCACACTTGAGTCACACTGTGGGCCACCACTCCTTTAAACCCTTATTTCTCTTTCCGTCTGTCGGACCTGACATTGTTTACGACCATCGCCTCACGTTCTCCCTCTCTTCTCCGTTCTCTCATTTTCCTCCATCCCTTTTAGAGAAAAATCTATTCTTCTTGGCTGGTGGTCAAAGAGGTGCAGCAGTAAGCGCCCCGGCTGCCTCTGTTGGTTGGTTCGGGGGGGTAGTTATCAAATCACGGGCCTCGTGCACCACTGACAGGATACAGGCTAAGTAATGGCACCAGATTCAATTTGAAAGTGTCTCGTGTCCTACTGCAGTTCCTGCTGCTCGATAAAATATAAAAGATTTTTGTTTATTGTTTCAAAATTGAATTCACAGTCAAGAATTCACGAATGTGACGTTTTAGAGTCAGACTCAAGTGCAGCAGCCAGACCAGAGAATAGGGAATAGTTCCAACAGAATTAAACATGGATGCTGCTAAAAGTTAAAAGTAAGTCTCTTAAAGCTAAACAACTACGAAACAAAATACAAGCAAACAGGCTGAAGGACCTGTGTTACTTGAAGGCAACGCTTGGTGGGCAGTCATGTGAGTGAGTGAGTGGAACAAAGACGATCTGACAATTTGACATGATTTGAATACACCGGGGAGACGCAGGGGAATTCAATCAAGAGAAAAGAAGTGAACACAGGACACAAGAGGCATGGTGATACGAAATGAACCCAGAAAGCCTCAAAACCAAAACACCAACAAAGCCAGAGGTATAAATGTTGATGGTGCAACCGGTCTTCACACTGGCGTTATGGAGCCAGAAGCCGTCAATGGCTTGTGTGGGAAGGTCCATGTCTGTTAGTGTAGAGAAGCTCTCTCTCTCTCTCTCACACACATTTATTTTGCATTCAAAATAAACCCGACTTAAAATTAACTTTTGTAATCCAGCTACATGTGCAGGTAAAATTGTTGAGAGCTGTGAAAAAATGTTGTGCAATGAGGTAATACACACTTTTTTGTTTAACAGTGAGTGCAGCACCATAAATTCCTTCAAGCAAATCGTCCCTTGTTCAGCTGCTCTTCCAAACTGGTTTGTTTCATGAAACATCACCTCCTCGTAGCAGTCAAACGCTGACTGGTTTCAGAAGGCTGCTACAAGGACTTTGGGATAAAGTGTCCTCGAGGTGGTCTAGGATCACCGTCTATATTCAGAGCACTAATCTAAGCCAGTGGGGGGGAAACGGGAAGCAGACCCAAGGTCAGTGTTAACCTTGTTCTGTCTGTACAGCCTGTCTTACCGAAATCCATTCACACACACACACACACACACTAACACATTGTGGTCATGTTTTTCCTGCGGGTATCACTCATGGATTTTTAATGGGGATTCGACTGCCTAATGCCTCACATTTGATCGTAACTTCAGCGACTCTCTTGCCTCTGCAGTCACTAAACACAACAGAGCCTCGGAGTGATGCAACAAATCTTTTATTTTCCTCAAGCAAACTGCTGAACAGTTCAAATCATTTTCACTCTAGACTCCATTCACAGTCTACTTCTGCCTGCATGTCATTAAATATCAGCTCGCTGAGATGTATTTGTGTGACTGTAGTTTTTCTCTGTCAGTCAGTGTTGTGGTTGATTAACTGTAGAGTAAAAATAATACGTATGTCTGACGGAGGAACCAAGACTCGCAGAGAGGAAAAGAAAGCGATCCCCATCCCCTGCTCGGTCAGGCCTGCCCCTTTTGTAATCAGAGTTAGATTAGCTGCCCCTCTGCAGCCAGGACCACCTGGTTATATATAGAAACACCAGCTTTGGGGTTGATCCTCCTCTAATGCCCCCCGACTCTTTGTTAACATCGCTGACATTCACTGGAGGACCCGCCATGTCTCTGTGTGTCAGAGAGAGAGAATTCGTCCAGTGTGTGTGTCTCTCACCATCTCTTTCAGTGTGCATGTGTGTGTCTGTTACCGCCCCATCCCGGCCTCAGAGCTCAGCTGGCAGCGTGGTCAGTCGGGGTGTGGGCGTCTGGCTGCAGACAGCTGGAGACTGAACGATGGAGCTTCTTGAGCACAGAAAAAGCAGTGATGTTGGAAGCGGCCTCATGCAGAGCAGTTTGGAGATTGGAGTCGCTGACACCCCGAGCTGTGGAAGCCGGGGCCGGGCAGGGGGACCCGAGCTGGACGTGACCCCAAACAGGCACGAGGGTGAGGCAATGGAGGAGGGACCCATGGGGCCTCTTGAAGTATTCCACCCAGGGGAGTCCACGGATGAGCCGGGATCCTCCATAGTAGTGGCCGAGGCCTTGAGGTGCCGAGTGAAGATAACAACACGCCGGAGCCTGCACCTACGCATAGCCAATCACACGACCAGGGATGTCTATGTACGGCTGGTGGGACATGGGGGACACATCGCCGGAATAAGCACCGGACTCCCAAGAAATACGCTGGAAAAGAGTAAGATCAGAATTGGCTTTAAAAGATTGGGTGGCTAAAGGCAGAAATATGTGTCAGAAACACACCAAGATACAAGAGCATCATTGGGCATCTTGTATCTGTTTCCTCAAGTTCAGAGGCATTCAACAGAGTTTCATCAAATTCTGTATTTCTTTAATACGGCACTTGAAAAACTGCAATACAGGACCGCAATGCAGCGTTAAACATCTGTTTCTACATTTAAATGTGTCCTGAAGAAATTAAACTTGCAGCCAGTGTTCAGTAGTAAGCCTGCCAGGTTTGTTGTGGCAACCACATGGTGCAAAGTGTGACTTTAGTCTTTCATCATCCTGAGACTCTCTGGAGATCCCTCTAATGTTTGTGTGAGTGTGTGTGTGTTTGTTGAAGAGAGATTGAGTAGCATACAGAGTGCACAAACAGAAGCATTTTGATCCACTCTGCGCACCGAGAGTGTGTAGAATAAGCGTGAGAGACGTGGCAGAGCATTTTTTGAGAAATGACAGGGATTAGGAAAGGATTTTTAGTTAGAATATAAAGCACACTTTTAGGTTTAGGTTTTGATGAAATAATTATAGCTGATTTGAAGGTTTCTATTTGTAGTTCATTTAAAATTGAATGATAAGAACAGCCGGGTGGACATACAGTATAGTGACGGCTTTATTCCTGCACAATTGCACGGTTGCACAGATACATTGACTTTGGGTGTCAATGATGAGGTTGCATGACAAAGATGAATGGGTCTGTCAACACTTACAAAACAGGGGAAAACCCTCCTGGGCATTTGCACGAGTGTGTGTTTGCAATGCTCACGGTGGCCACACAGGAATGTAGCGCCTCGCGGTGTGAATGACCTCTTCTAAAGAGAGGCTTTAGCTAACGGACTACAGAGACGCTGTGTTGTGTGTATAAAAATAAAATGGCTTCTTCTCGTGAGGTCAGGTTTATTTAGTCACAATGGGAAACAACCATTGCTGCACTGCACAGTGGCATTGTATTTGGCTAAAGCTATGCATTTAAACGTGTTATGTTGGGTATTTTGCGAACGTAAGTCGGTTTCATGAATATCCATAAAATATACTGTAATGTATCTAATCGCATGGAGAAAGAAAATATTCACATTCAGGCAGAATTGAAATGAACTTAACCTGCAGTTTGCATATCCCTCCCACAGTTACAGTGTGCAGAGAAGCATGTTAAGATTAAAACTGAGTGGCCTGTAGGTGTGAGTGTTTGATTGACTGGCAAACTGCCTCCCCCCCAATGCCAGCTGGGATCGGCCCAGTCCTCCTCCCAACCCCCCAGGGGCATAGCCCATGGATTGATGGGTTAATTGATGGATTATTTTCACACTACATTCTAAGTGTGTCATGATAATCAACATTTAATTTATTTTGTTGATGTCCTTAATCAGGGATCAGTTGAAACACACTTTACATAATGTCACTGTTGTCATGCATCTTATATGGCTTTTTGCTATTATATACACATCTTCTTTTTCTGCACAGAAATACAGCTAATTTGCTACTTAACACATCCAACTTCCACACTTGTTTGTTATTTTTTTAGTTTAATAAACCATAATTGTACAGTCAGTACAATCAGTGGCCAGGATAATATGGTATTTTACTAATACAGCAAAGAGTAATTGTCAGATGTTGATCAACTCACTCTGGCTTCTGCTGTTGCTTCCCTGATTGCAGGTTTGACGTCCCTCTCTCCCTCTGAGTTCCTTCTATCGTTTCCTTTTTCCTGACTCCTTTTTCGCCATCTGTCCTTCTTTCATTTCTCTCAACTTTACAAACTCAAACTAGCTATAAGTTATGGTATGGTAACTTATTAGCTAGTTTGAGTTTGTAAAGATTAGTCAGTGTGGCCTTACCTTTAAACACACTTGCATTTATTCCATTGATATATAAAACTTCTCTTTTAGAAATGAGTGTAGCTAGCTGTGTGTGTGTGTGTGTGTGTGTGTGTGTGTGTGACCAGTGGGTAGAGTCTGGATTAGAGAGGTATTCAGTGAGCCATACGTAACTGGACTTTTACCCCCAACTCCTGAAGCAGGAAGACAGCTGGTCTTGTTTTCAACATTCACAAGCGCACACTGACACACAAAGAGGTGTTCATGTTGATATTCCGGTTGGTCGTTGTGTTCTGACGCATCAGTGATGTCTAAACTCACCACCTCTGAGGGAAGTTCATGTTTCTACACACACACACACACACACACACACACACACACACACACACACACACACACACACACACACACACACACACACACACTACAGGGAAGGACTGTTACCCTGCAAAATCATTTTTTACAGCTATAAACAGTCAAAAAAAGGAGACTATTCACCCTGAATTGTATTATTCACAGTCACACTGTTAAAAAGTGACCCCTGCCAGCCTCTATTGGCCAAATCCAAACCACATCAGGGAGATTATTGTAAATTAAGATTTGTTTATGTCAATCTAGAGTACAAATGTCCTCTCACATTTTCATGGTTGAGCGAGTTGAGTATTTATTGAATTTTCATTTCACATGTCGGCGGCGGCGGTATCTGTTGGGGCTTCGTTCATGGGAAAAGCAGGAATGCCACCATGTGGAGGGAGGGCTGAACTGCAGCATTAAAATATACAGTTGGGAGTGACACTTTGCCCCAAAGTCAGGTGAAATTAAAAGGTTTAATATTTTGAAAATAGCAATGAAACTGTATATCTAATTTGTGTGCAAAAACACTAAATAGAAAAGAATATTCCAAGTAACCTTTAAGCGCTTCAGTCGGACTCATGTGATGAAGCTGCGTTCCTTAGAGGAAATCCTTTTGATAATAGGTAGATATTAAATGACCTTTTAAAGCCAGTACCCAGTGTGAGTAAATCATGTTTCCTCTGTTTGTTTCCCCCAGCAGGTGTTGTCGCTGTGAAGGACTCTGTACCTTTGTCTCCACTCAAACCAGCTGCACCTGCAGACACACAGCAACAAAGTAGTGAGGGAAGAACATCTGCTTTAGGCAATGACCTGCAACCTTCCCGGGTTTCCGGGGAAACCTCAAATCTCCGACCTCAGACGCCAAAAGCTGAAGATGACGTGGTGGAAGATGACGAGGCCAGTGGGTCTCTCACCATTTCTGAGCTTGTCTACAGGTATGTAGAGTTTTACAACTATTATCAATGTATTCATAACTATATTTTGTCGCTCGTGACTTGAGTGTTTGGCTTTGCCTTGGCTGCTCTTATGTCATTGCTGCTGAGCGGTTATGTAAACAAAACACACACAACAACCATACTTTCCTCTGCATGCTTTATATTGTCTTATTGAGGCGTACAGGTCAGTAGCAACATGGAGCCGTGTCTCTTATGACCGACAGGTTGAAAACTGCCTTTGCTTTTATTTAAGGAAGGAAACGCACTGATTGCGGCCTGTGAGAAATGTCCCTTCTTCTTTCCCCTCGGCGCTGGTTATTTACTACTCACATGCAAATAATGTATTTTCTTTAAATATATTGCCGCTCCTCTGCAGTCCCTGCGCCAGCATGTTACCCACCCCGGTGGACGACAGTCAGGGAGGCGTCGACTTGCTCTTCTCGTCTCCGGTCCAGAGCCCAGCGAGGATGCTGAGGGAGCTCCACGCCGACCCTGACATCCAGGCCCAGCTGCAGGCCGAGAGGGAGCGGGACCGGGCTCGCGAACGCACCCGGGCGGCTGCCAGAGGTGGAATGGGCGGCGCCCTCGCCAGCAGCCTGCGCCTGCTGTCGTCCAATGAGAGATTCAATGCGTGCGTGCTGAGTGCGGCTCGCTTCGTTGGCGTGGTAATGGGGATCCTGCTCGTCACTGTGCCCACACTGCTGCTGCTGTTAGAGTCGGACATTGACGTGTCGTTCCTCCACGAGATCCGCCAGACGCCGGAATTTGAGCAGTTTCACTACGAGTATTACTGCCCGCTGCGCCGCTGGGTCCTGTGTAGGATCAGCATGGCCATGGAGAACCTCTGGTCGGACTGAGCAGGGAGAAAGAGGAGTCACTGCAGGGGGAAGAAAAATGTCCCAAATGTCTTGTCTTAATGTGTAATTTGGTCTTATATTCAGTTTCAACAACAGGTGAGACAAAAAAACACAGTCTGCCAATGAGATGAGATTACTTCAGTTTATTTTAAGAGAATATTCAACTGGGTCCTCACAAAATTTCTGTTGCATAATTTGTTAAAGAGGCCTGAGATGGATAAACTGTCAGATTTTCTCTAATCGAATTTCTCTAGAACAAGTAGATTGGTTTCACCTCTTTGGCAGCATAAATTGGAGTCTTAAAGAGATAGAAAAGAATTATGATTATAGTCATAGGATCCAATCACTTGTTAAGACACTTTGGGCAGTTATGAACTGAAAAGAAAGAACAAGGAAGACTGAGTGTTTGAGAAAAAACACGTGTGGAGATTCATGAAAATAAAAGTTGTAGATAGAGAGAGAGTCACGAGAGATTTGAAAATCAAAAAAAATACAAAAGATAACTTGTTTGGTTCCTTTTAATAGAACATTTGAAGGTCTGTTCACTCCTGATGCTGACGAGCGGATGCAACGACTCCGTAAATAGGGCTAAGCATTCTGATTGGTTCTCGCCTTCAGAGTGGAACCCCTGATAGGTCAAAGGAGCTGTCAGTCATGACAGAGTGGGTGGGAACAGCAAGAGAAACGATTCACTGCAACGCAACAATAGCCACAGTCAAAGACACATTATATATATTTAAAAACAAAAGACAAATATGATGATCAATATCTATCCAAATAAGTTGTTTTTAAAGTTTTGTACATTTTTATGTGATCCAGATCTTTCAGGAATTTTTCAGTCAGAGGATCTACTTTGAGCTTGTTTTAAAATTAAGAGTTTACAAAAGATTACAAAAAAATGAATTTATTGAAGTTTATCTGGGGGTGATGACAAATTTAAGATATTTTTTAAGACTACCGTCAGCATTTACTCACCCGGTAGCAGCCTGGGGTTTTCCTACAGAGGGGATAGCACAAATATTTTACACAGACCACAGATAACTACTGTTTCAGATTATGTGATGTCATTTTGGAAACAGGAGGGCAGCAAAGGAGAGAAACTTTAGTCTGTATGTGATGAACTTCTAAATGTCTTCTGAACTAAATGTGAGCTCACTATTTAAGGCTACAAGTGCATCGTTCAGTGTGTTTTAAAAGAGTTTGAACAGAAATGCAGAAATGCCCAAGAGTTAAAAGGTTCCTCATGATGAAAAGTTGCTGTGGTGGAATCGTGAGGAATGATAGTTTGTTAGTGGCTGGTGTGCTGCTGGTGGGAGAGTCCTGTCAGTGTCTCAGGGTTTGGAAGTGAACTATAAAGTTATAGTCCAACCTGACCGCTGCTGCGTGACACATAATGGGACAAGTAAATCAGTCGTACAAGTCCTTCTCTGGTCATTTTCTGGTGGAGAAGAAGTTGATCCAACTGAACGAATGTGGCACGGTTGGAGTGCAGTTGCAAGTATTTAACTGAAGCATTTTATTCACCAGATAATATTGGAAATGATTTGTAGCCATTTCCATTATAAACTGTGATGGGCTTTGAATTTAGATAACTGTTTACTCACTTCACTACCTACATGACTATTATTTCCCATTTAAATGGCAGTGACCAACAAGGTATCTGGTGTGTTCATATATAAAGGTATGCTCACAGATATTCACCGCTGATATGGCTGAGGTTCCCAAAAGGGCCTGCGAAATAAAACGTATCTTGGAATAAAAGAGTCTCTATTCGGTACACAGCTGATATATGAACTGTAGACGTGTTGGTCTTTCAAAGATAGGTTATTGTTTTGTACCTTTACAAAGCTACGGTCACAGCATGGACTTAAACAATGTCAGCTCATGACTCAAGTCATCATTGGACTGAGGACTAATTCCTAAAGAGTCCTGTAGCTCTGATGAGAAATCGCATCAGTCACTTTCTGAAACTTACAGCCGCCGGCGTGCGATTGGTCACCGCGTGTCTCCCGCAGTCATGTGGCTCATCACGGAGAAGAGACAGAGAGCTACAGAGATGTGAAGTTACATCACATCAGATGAAAACAGATGGGTTTTTTGTTTTGTTTGTTTTGCCCGAAATGTAGTTCAATTTGGATCAACTTTTCAGGAAAGAAAATGAGTAATTTAGGTTCAAAATAACAAATATACGTCTAAAAAAAGAAAAGAGGAAGAAATGTTTCTAGTCACAGCATAAAATATATCCATAACCTTCATACTGTACTTGTCTTGTTATTATGTTATAATTACTATCCAAACACTTTATATATTTATAAGATTGTAGCTGGATATAAATATGTGTGTGTTGTTGTAGCCTCATTTCACTCAACTACATTTGCATCCAAAAATATTTCCCCAAATGTTTTTGTGTTATCAAAGTATGATAGTAGCATATGATATTGTAGTAGCATATGATCCCTCTCCATACAGGAAGATTTCTTAAATATGATACTTAAGAAATCTCTCGATACTCTTCGGCTGCTACAGAGGCCTTTGCAGTGCACATCACTATCGAAGCCCTTTTATTACATAACCGATCACAGTTGCTGCCTCATACTATCAGCTCTATTGTCCTAGAACTCTGTTATGAATCAACAAGCTTTATGCATGAAAAGAAAATAGAAAAATAGAAAACAGGCAGGAACAAAATAGTCACTCTAATGAGGGACAAAGCATTTATTTTCCTACTACAGCAACGCTGAAACACAGCGAAGGGCCAAACCACTCTGACGACAGTGTGTGCATTTAACATCACACACTCCGAGCTTCACCGGAGACGAGCAAGCTAATCTATTTGCACTGCTACAAGATCCCCATTATCACATGATTTCATCACCAACTATCGTCTTACTCAGCGGTTGATCCCCCAGTCTGCACATGTAGTTTTCAAAGTGTTAAAAAAAAAGAGTTTCTCTTTAAAGACTTCATGTACACAGCTGTACGGACAAAGTTTGTTCCCGGCTTTGTTCTTTTATTTCTGTGCTCTGTCCTCCTCTAACATGGCGGATTTCTTACTCTGACTTCTCAATGCAAATCGCATGCTCCCATCTGTAAATACTGTGCTTATAGTTGTGGCAAAAAAAACAAAAAACGGTCAAAAATGTCCATCCTTCCTTCCTTTTGTGTGTCTTGTCCTTTCAAAGCGCTCTAGATTTAGGCCCGGCTGTCTTGATCATCTTAGATGAATGCATGTTTCTGTGTTTAATCCAAGATGAAGAAGAGGGAAATATCCATTATAATCATTGGCTTGACAAGACTGAATTCATATGGTCGCTAATTATGTTAGTTTCCTTTGAGCGGATCTAAAAAAAATCGCTTCTTGATGTCTGCTTGGAAAAGATCATTTTACAACCTAAAGCCTAATTGGTTAGTTTCATTGCGCTTGTGCTGTGTGTGTACATCATTAAAGGCAATGTCCTAATACTGACACCCTAACCTCATTGCTAACAGAGCATGCTGTTAACTGATGCTAACCGATGAACAAAAGGTCTTTTAGTTCTGTCATCTCACAGATCTTTGGCCTCATGTCACACTGTAGCATATAGTCTGTAGCTCATTTATCAGTTTAGCCTTTATGAGTTTGATTCAGAGATTTAGCTCGTGTTTTGAGCAAGCGAACTGGAGCTCTCGTGTTTTACATTTACATGTTGACCCAGACTGCAACTTTTCTTGCCTGTACGTACTTAAAACTGTGATTAAAAACATCATCAAGATCACTCACCAGTGGATGTCTAATCTGAGGGTTTACTGTACTACTACGTTTGTGACATGAGTCAAGTATTTACAAACCTTAAATTAAATTACATGCCTGTAATTATCAGTAAGGATTTTTTTTAAATGCCTCGCAGACAACAGAACAACAGAAATCAAAGCTGTTTAAAACTGATACACAAATATTGTTTTTGCAAGATTTATTTAAGACGATAAATATTTGAACTCAGGTCTACGATTATGCAAACTGTTTGACATCACATGGTAAAGGAGAAAAATAAGCTGTTGTTCAGCATATTAAATCCGTGTTGTGTAGGCATGTACAGTAGCAGATTCTCTTGCATGGTCCCTTTTTTTGTTTTTGATTGTTATTCAAATTGGCTTGTTGTTTTATTTGTTAGATGTATTTTTTTTCTTTGTCATTCAGTCTCTTTTAATAACAAACGTTGAGAGATATAATATAAGAAGAATAAAAAAAATGTTAAAAAGAAAATCCCTAAATAATGACTCAATTTTCTCCTGGGACAACTAAGCCTTATCAACTTTGTGAAGTACATTTTTTTGAATGTTTGTATAAAAGAAACAAATTGATTGTTTTCTATGTTAATACTGCCATAATAAAGCTCCCTAATGAATATATATTGAAATATGGCGCCTACAGTCTGGATTATTTTTTATGTTTGTTTATCCTGGTAAGCAATATAAAGTTAGTTTAAACATATATATATATTAATATATAACCCCCGGTTGGGATATATATATCTTTAACATATGAGATATTAAAACCAAGATCACAAAAGATTTCCAAAAACTTTCATTTGTCTCCCTCCTGTGTTGTAAAATATTATTGCACATGTTTAATTGGCACCTCTATGCTGATGATATAGTTATTTCTGTAGATGTTTTTGTTATTTGTGTTCAAGCGTTGACATTAATGAGTAAACTCTTGTATGTTAGAGTTTTTTTCGAATAATCAGTCACATTCTGTTTAAAACTTCTTCCTGCATCTCAAGTTAGCGCTACTGAGCCTACAGCTGAAATCTTTGGGGTAAAAGTGATTTTGGATTCTCCTAAGCTGCATCGTGCTGTTATGTAGCTGTTGCTTTATGGCGTTGGTGGGGGGAAAAAGATATAATCGCAGATATAATATGTCTATTGCATGATGATTCTTTTTGCATAGTGCGGCAAGTGCGGATAGTTTTGCTTCTTTTCTAAAAGTGCAACTCATCAGCATAAACCCTACTGAATGCAGTCAGACTGGTTGACGTTGTAAGAAGAAAGAAATTAATGCTGCATCACAAAATGAGAAATCGAATAAACATGAGCCACAAATTCCTTTTCGGGCAGCATATGCATCTACGGAGATATGTCCTCTCACAGTAGACAGGCCGTGTCTGAACTCCACCACCAACTCTGCAGAGCTGACCGCTTGATATTTTTCAAGATTACCTGATTACAAGCATCCATCCATCATAAAAACCATCATACCATCTCTAGTAGTGCAGGTTGTAACGAGGTACTTGGAGATTCCCCACATGATCCCTGCAATCACGTCTCCTTTACCCCAAAGAGAGAGAAGGAGTACAAAGAAACGCCTGATTACATGATGAGTATAGAGCTGCAGGAGGCCGCTAATACACCAACTCATACATCATACATGCTCAGACGATCATATATCACCAGGTGGTGATGATCATATGTAGCATATATGAAGGCTCACATCCATTCAGTCAGGTGTTGCACCAAAGCCACCCGTTACTGCCTCTCCATGGTGACCCGGGACCAACACCATCAGCCTGAGGCCAGTTAGACACTATGATTACACATGTTGTGAGACGCTACGAAAAATCATCCAAAGAACAAAATTACCAACAAACCATGTGAATTCTACATTTCCAAGGGTTTGTACTTTTGGGGTCAACACAGATTTACTTTTGTTGCTTTTGTGTAATTTCTGTTTTAAATTAATTTCTCACTTTATGCAATAGCACTAACGAGAAGGATTGACTTTAAACTTAACTCGTTATCTGATTATATCTTTTGTAAGTAACAGCCAATGATGTTGTTTTTTTTTCCCTTTTAAGCTGAAAACATTAAAAAGTTAGAATTTTTACCTCCAATAACTTTGTTTGTTGCATTTACAGGTGATTGGTGATGTAAACAAACAGAAAAATACAACCTAAGAAATCTCGATTACTGTTTGTTTATGATATTGTGTTTTAGTTTTACTTACTGAGGTTCAATTTAACCTGGTAGTTAACGACATCTATGTCCTGCAGTATTTCCGCGTCGACTCTCTGAAGTGTGTCACAGCACATGGTGTGTTCTCATGAAGTAAGTACTTCCAGTGGCCTACTGTACCACTCCCTGTGCAAACATGCAGTAAGATAACCCAGACCTGCACCATCACATGCTCTCATACCTGCGCACGATAGGCTGCTGACAAAGTATTAAGTCACCTCCAGTGATCACGACTGTTTTCTCTTTCTCAGCGGAGAAATCCGAGGATTGCAAACACCAACCTGACGGAGGGGCGGATACTTTGTGTGGGCAGCCGTCGTCGTCTGTACAGTTGCAGCGGCCCGTCTCTCACCTCCTGTTTTTCACTCAGTGTAGAAACTTTCTAGAGGAAAATCTTTCAAAATCTGAGCTCATTGAGTCAGGCCATGAGCTCTCTTTGTTCTGGGAAGCTGTATTGATTGTTCAGAACTATTGACTTGACATCCTGAATCTATCTGCCTGCTTTCAATGTCAACAATACAAAAAATTAAAGTCCACTGCACACGGTGTTTCTGGATTGAAACATCCAGAAACATGATTAACTCACCTGTCAAACCATTGTATTCTGTGAATGATGCAACTAGTATTCCCAATATCATATAATAGATTTCATACTAAAATATGTGCTAAAGTAAAGACTGACCCGGTTGATTGGACGCACACCATTTTCAGCTGCTACATTTGTTTAATTTCTCTTTCACGCAACAGTTTTCAGATAGATTTAGAGACAGTTGATTAAGATGACCAAATTTACAGTAAAATGTTTAAATTCTGTGAGCTATACTCCCACATTCAGTGTTTTAATGTGATTTACCATAAAATGTATTCTGTGAATTGTTAATTGCAGGAGCTTATGTCACTGGCTGTACTGGTCCTGGTCTCCATGGTGACCAAATGCCGCATCTGATAGGTCAACTGTGTCATCATGTGGATGTGGGCTGGAATGGAGCTACAGACTAAAGGAGTCCTGAGTCAAGTCAGTTTTTATAGACACACTAATTGAAAGTGTGCAAGTGACCCTTTTTTCCCGTGTAATGGTGGAGATTACAAAGAGTTAAGTGGTCATCGACATGCACCCTAAGGTGACGTGCTGGTTGACTCAGTATGTGTACTGAGGTCATGTTGTTGTTGGCCAGCGAAAAATCTAAATCTTTTTAGGTTGTTTCTTTAGGGTTCAGATGAAGACTAAGTCTACGTTTTAATTTCTCTTCCCTGTAGGTCGCAACTGAACGGCTGTGATGTCACGAATGACCCGCTGATGAAGCTGGTCACGAGCCACAGAGAAAGTCCAACATTCTCCAGATTCATGAATTACTGTCATGGTACGGCAGGAGATGGATTTGGTTGCTGTCTTTGTTCTCTGCCTCTATCATGAAGTCTTGGTTCATCTATTGAAGTGGACTTGACGCTTGTATTTACATTCGACCTTCTTTATTAATGGATAATCCATTCGGATATAATCAGCACACATGGCTATTTTCTTATGTTTGTGTGTGTGGTTTTATATCAGTCTGTGCAAATTGGAGGTTTTTAGATGTCAGTTCCTCACTCCCCCCTGTCTACAGACATTACAGACATTATATGAGGTACTTTATGTTTTGAAAGGTAAACACTTATCTTTAAAAAAGAGTTTTGGAATCAGCCCTGATGTTTTCAGAATGTTCATAAAACATTGAAATTATGTTTTTTTCATATTATTTCCCATTGAATAGTTACTGACATAAAAATAAAGACATTCATTTAGTGAGACTGTGTCCTATTGTCAAAGTTCAACCTGTGCCCTGACTCAAACATCTGCACCCAACCGGATGGATAATATGTCGACGAGCAAAATGATGCAATGCAAAAGTAGATTATTTCAAAAAGAATCCTAATGATAAACTAATATTTGTAGTTCTATTGCAATTTTTCCAGTGATATTTCAGTGAGGGTCTCATGGAGGATTCATAGATGAATCAAAAGCATCGTAATTGATCTGTAAGTGTTGAGCTGTGTGTTTAATTTGCTGCAGGTCATGGAGTGTTTCATCTCAATATAATCCAGCTGTGTTACACGGGTTACCTCGTACCTTATAGTCACTTGTGATATTTCCCACGGTTCATTGGTTAACTGTTTATTTTTGGGGGAAAAAGACAAAGTTCTTCAACAAAACTTTTCCTGCTAGATAAGACCTCTAAAACCAGACTACGGGGCTTCCCATGCAAGTCACTTGCACTATTGGACTATTGAGAGAGAACAGTGGACTCCTTCATTGCCATTTAAAAATAGAAACGTTGGATGATTGGGTATGGCAACCGTGATATATTATAAAAAGTTAAAAATGTGATCATTTTAAATGATGAAATTTGCTGTTTTTGAGGGGAAAGAGCAAATACCTCTCTTTCGCTTACCTTGAGGCGTTCTTTGACTTTGATGGCAATCATGGCGTTAACGAAATTTGTAACGCAGTGTTGGAGGTTTGAAAAATGTGATTTTATCAGGAATATCCACGTGTCAAACCGGGAAAAGGCGCAGGGAGGATATAAAAGTGAGTCGGCTAAAGGATTCACACTAATCCTTTTTTCAAATCTCTAATTCTAATTGAAATTCGAATTTCAATTTTGAATTTTGAAAAATGGATGTCCATTAACAAAGATTTTGAAAGCTAAATATGGCTTCAACAAGGGGCGCGAGCAAGGAGCAACAAAAGCTCCTGAGTTCACTCTTTCACGCCTACGATGTGGATCATTCGGGTCGGATTGAAAAAAACGAGTTTTCCACCATCTGTCAGGAGCTTCATGTCCCGTCACAAGAAGCAGACGGCATCTTCAACCGCCTGGACGCGGACAGCGACGGCTCGGTGACTCTGGAGGAGTTCATCGCTGGCTTCAAAGATCGGAAGCCGCCCAAAGGAGATGCCACCGGACCAGAGGAAGAGAATGGATCAGCGGGGGAGGAGCTTGTCATATCCAGGTGAGATATCAAAGGTAGAAAAAAGAACAGTCCTGAGAGGCTGTATTTTGTTCATTTGTGTCATTTAAAGGTATAACGCAGTGTTGTTTGTAAAAGACAGCATTCCAAATTCGCTATTCCCTATAGTTTAACGAGTGATAGAGTGGGGGGGGACTGTTGTTCGTGAACAAAGACGTGAATCAGAAGAATATAAAAGTGATTGTTCACAGCGGTTACGTTGAAAAAGCCCGTACACAGATCTACACCTCCTCAGGGCCCAACGGGACCCGACGCTCACTTTTGACCTGTAAGGTTAATCCGGCCCGGATGATTATCTTAACATGGTTGGTGATGTCATATGTTCGTTAGGTAACGGTAGTCAGGAGATGGAATGCTTTCATGTTGTACGTTTGTGTTTGTTTTTGTTTGTTTGTCTTACTTTTGACCTCTGTGTGATGTATTGACATTTCAGACAAGTTAAGTCATTCCATTAAAAAGAAACTAGTGTAATTATATTTATTTAAATAATTCTTATCAGCAGATGAAATAGAACATATAAAGCGGCAATGTTTTTACAATGTATCATGTATCTTATCCTACAAATTGAATAATCCTTCATTATTCTTTATCCATAATTTCTTTAAACATTACAGGCCATTAGTGTTTCTCCACAATGAACGCACTTTCGTTTGAGAGAGGAGTGAACACACACACGCACACACACACACGCGCACACACACACACGCACGCGTCCTCTCTGTGCACACAGGTGGTGACAGCCGGCGCGTTTACCTGAGTCAGACACGACGGCGTTTCCGTCCGTCCAGCTGACGACCAGCCGACGCAAACAGACATAAGATCTGGTGAAGACGCAACAGTCGCCAAAGCGATTAAAACCGATTAAAAACGGAACCCTTCGATCGGGCAAAGTGCCAACGCGTAACAGCTGTCGCGATGTTTGGATAAGAGCGCAGAAGACGCCCGCAGCTATCGGAATAAAACGTCGGCGGTTCCGTGGGGTGTTTTTCTTTCTTATTCCCAGCCGGCCGCGTCCCTCCATCGGGGGAATGAGCGCGCAGGAGCAGCAGCGGCTGCGCGCCCTCTTCGACGCCTACGACGCGGACAAGTCGGGGCGGATCGAGAGGGACGAGTTCCTCACCCTCTGCGCGGAGCTGCAGGTGTCCAAGAAAGAGGCCGACCGAATATTTAACCGACTGGACGTCGACAGCGACGGGACCGTGACCCTGCCGGAGTTCCTCAGCGGCTTCCAGGGCCGCTACGGAGAGGACATGGAGCCGGATGGAGGAGGAGAGGTGTCCGCCGCCTGGGAGAACTTCGAGATGAGACTAGGGGAGCAGGCCAAGTTCATCCCCAGGTGAGAGCGCGCACCCGTCCGGTGGGCAGTCGGGGAGGCGGTACAGTGGAGATGCCTTTTGAACATATGGAAATGTTTTAAATGATATGAACATCACGATGGTCACAGGGAAATTTACAAATGATGTACTGAATCGAAATGGATGATATTAAAACCGGTTAAACCAGTTTAGTTTAGTCCTGCAGCCTTGCTCTTTGAATAACAGTAACTGTGTTTTATGTTCATCTTAAGTGTTGCTTTTCCTGAAGGCATCTCATGATCATCGTCTTCTCATATCTATTTCTATTAGCATGAGATCCGTTATACAGCTTCTAAAAAGATGTAGATGTGTGTAAAGTGAAAACTACAGATGAAGGTTAAAACTATTTGATAGGATTATTCAATAGAAAAACAATAACAATTTTGATAATGATTTAATTACCTGATAGCTCCTTAACTCAGATGATTTCTAAGAAATGTCCGGGAAACTATGATGGACATTGTTTATGATTCTTTACATTTTTGTGTATCGATAAAGTGAGATGAAAAAAATGATGAAACCGTACTCCAACTCACAACAACTAAAGCTCACTGAATGCTGCGTTATCACTACGATTGGCCCAACGTCAAACTCAGAAGTCAATGTAACGGATATTTGTTCAGATGCTCTGAAGCATTGATGTGTTGCAGAATGACTGTCATCATCGTCTATCCATCAGTCATTACCTGCTTTATGATTCCAAGGTCTAGAGCAACAAATCCTTCTTTTTCTTTACAGTGAGAATAAGGAAAACAAAGTTTATTGTGAGACACTATTTCAAATATGTGACCCTCAATCGTTCACCTTTGTACAACTTATGGCTTCCTATTCCCTTACAAGCCCTGCAATTGTCTTAGCGTGTATTTATTTTTCTGCCAGGATTTTTTCTGTTAACCATTTTAAGTTTCTAGCTCCGCATGTCATCACTTTGCGTTTTATGTTAACTCAGTCATACAGTTTGGTGTCTATATTGATGAATTAAGGTAATTTCTAATTAATCCAATCCAACATCTATTTCATCTATGATGCAATTAAAGTCCTTTAGGCCTTGCATTGGACTCGTCCTCGTGCTGCTCTGCTGCTGTCACATCTGGACATCGATTGTCACAGTGGCGTTTCTGATAAACACAGTCTTGTGTCTTCAAAAAGTTCGGTTAAAGAAGTCAGCTGAGTAATGGCAATTTGGAAAACAGCTCACTTCGTAGAAGTCTCGGTTTTTCAGGAATGAAAGAAGATTTTGTGTGATCGTAGATGGATTGGAAAGAGGAAAAAATCGATTACATTTCTATTGACAATTGCCTTGCTGACTGATGCAAATGTAAGGAGTGTTTTATGTTTTTATTCTCAGCTGATTGAGGCTGGAATTTTTATTCAGCTCCACTACAAATCCAATGCCAACGGCATTATGTCAAAGGCAACAAGGTCTGAACTATATAAATATATTTCTGTGTTCTGGTGTAATAGTCACCTTCCAAAACAAAGGAGAACATGTGTTTTTTTTTTCATTTAAGAGAGATTTTTGAAGTAAATTCAAATAGGAAACATTTAAAAGTTTTTACAAAGGGACAGAAACAAAAAGTATTTATTCGAGTCATTTGATGTCCCATTTCTTTGAATGATTAAGGCGTCTGGGGTGAATAAACCAAACAAAACACTTGCATCATTTGTGCATGACATTATGATTAAGTTTCTCTCGGGAGGAGAGCTGTTTTCTCAGACTTCACAACGATTCTGATCAAATGATCAAATGACCCACAACCTAACAACAGTTTCTCTGTTCAATGTTCCATGATTTTTTATGTGTGTGTCTGTTATGATCAGTTTGGGTTTGACACTGTTGGATGTTGCAGCGCACTCTGCGTCCCAGTCTCTGCCTGTCAGTCAGTATAGATTTCAGTACGGATTGCATAAGCACACATATGGGTTAAGTGTGTGATTAGGTTTTGCCTGGATGCATCCTCATGGTCTCTCTATGTGTGTGGGGCACTCTGATGCATGCTGTAATGCTATTATGTTATGTTTCCCTGTCAAAATTGAGTGTGTTAAACCATAATCAGAAATATAGGAAGATACTCTGTTTGTCTATTTTTTGATGTGCAACCTGTGTATTGAACAATGATGAAAAGGTTGCAGACTCAACTTTAAAGTTCGATCTTGTTTGCGCCTTCAAATAAACTCAATCTACCAAACAAAGGTTGTTATTTTTAGAAAAGGTTTTACGGTATCATTTTAAGAAATAGCTTTGTGAGGCGGAGACCAGGGGCCACAGTGTCATTATTTGCTGGACTATATATTGACACATACACTCCATAGAATGATGAATAAATTATTCTTGTATAAGATAGATCATATCAAATTACCGTGTCACAGGTACAAAAGAACAACGCTGACTTTCCATCCTGAATGTCTTCCAGGAATGAACAAGCAGCTATGTTGTACCAGAACATCAGTCTGACTGAGCCCAGACTGATCCATCAGTTCGAGAAAGTCATCCTGAACTTCACCAAAGAGATCAAACAGCAGAACTCAGAGATGGAGAACCTAGCCCTCGCCATCAAAAGGTGGGAAACATACACATACAAACACTCACTTGCATCCTGCGAATGAAGATGTGCACGTGTCATGGATGTGAAACAGAAATGTGGAGCTTCTGGTTTCATTCTCTTTATCAGTATCAGTGTGAGTTTTAAACATGGCTATTTTTTATGCGTTGATGAAAAGAAAGTTCTTGGTGTCAAGCATGAATTTAACAGCAGGAAAGGATGTGGTTACCAGGTTAAATTGATCGTAACATTTAATGGTTTAAGCTGTGTTTCACATAAATCAGTGATCTGATCCTCATGAAATTGTATCGCCTTGTTAAGGGCTACCAGCAGATGACGTATTAATCAGAGCAAGGTGATTTGTATTGTACTTGTGGGATGAGTTTGCAGTGGGTATTGCATGGGTGTTATGCTGTCATTGTTGTCGCAGAGCGCAGGACCAGGCATCCATGCAGCTCAGTGAAATGGAAGAGGAGATGGACCAGCGCATTCACGCCGCGGAGAGAAAAATACGAGAGCAGGTGGGACGAAACTCCGACATAAGTCCCCCCTGAAATCCCCGAACATCCCTCTCTGAGCAAACTTTAATATTCCTGGCTCACGTGTTTGTTTCTCTGGAGTTTGTGTAGACAAAAGTGATAAGCAGGTTGCATTTGTTCAGCTCTTCCCTCATGTCAAACAAATGTGAGCGGCTGTATATCAGATTACTCATCCAAACGCAGACACGCCTGCTGGTCAGCTGGATTCCCCAACAATGCGGATCCCTGATATGAAGCGGAGGAAAAATGGAGTTGCTGGATTACGCTCCAGCCTGCGGCGTTTATTTTGACATGGCCGGGTGTATTTGTGATGAAGGGTTTCGTGATGTATACTTGGGGATTCACGTCGGCTAACATGCCAGCGCTCCTGATTACCTGCAAAGTCAGCTATTGCTTGAATGACAGTGATCACACTTTGTATGCTTCCGACAACTTTCAATACTGGAATAAGAGACAAAACAACTCTTGTTTTGTCGTTGTTCTCAATCGTATTGAAAGTTTTGTGACAGTGTGTAAAATGACAATTTCATCACAATATTTAGCCTTCCATGATATGAGATGCAAAGAAAAACTCCCCGGCTCTAAGACTGTGTGATTTATTTAACTTGTATTAATTGAATAGTTAATTTTATCTTTGGCCCTGAATTTCCTCTGAAGCTTGTGTGGGAACATAAATGCTGCTTTATCGCCGTGTGTGTATAAACTTATGTAAGTGTACTAAGTGCACTAACTGCTGTTTGTTTTGTGTTTCTTTGCATACAGTCGTGTTCTCGTTCCTGGGAGAGAATTCTTCATTTTTAGAATCTAGATAGACAGTCACTGATATCAATTTCCCAGCACCTGCCCTGAAACAGTCACACATTAACGTGTCACGGAATGACCTTTTCTTCTATTGGTTTGTGTCTTTGAAGGAGAAAAGGCAAGCAGACGCCGCGCTGAGTGAGTTACGGAGGAGTTATGAGACAGAAGTGTGTGAGCTGCAGTGTAAGATCCAGAGGATGCAGATGGTAAATGGTTCACCTCATTGACTGCAATTCATTTTCACACACAACACACCTTCAAGACTACAGGTCAATATCGACCAGCAGTCACAGTCCTCTAACCATTACTTGTCTTATATTGCATGATATATTGCAAGATAGTAAGAAATGAATGATGTTAAAACGTCTTTTCATAAGGGCACAAGAATAAATTGTCAGATGTCTGCAAGGCTTTAAACTGCTAACGTCAGATGAAGGGGCTCAGGCGTCCTAAAGGCAACATAAATGTAACATTTAAAGTTAATTGTACTGCGTATATTATGAAAAAACAGATCTTTGTAGCGTGAAATAGAGTCCTGTATGAAAAGAACGTACTGCATTCACATTAAATGACTTATTCTACACTTTCACTTTTGAAACACAAACACATCAGCTGAATTCAGATCAAATAAACTCAATCTAAAATTTGTGAATTCTCTTTTTCAGATAGAAGAGAAGTACAAGAACATCACTGGGAAAGACGAGGGTCCGGCGCTGAAGAAGAGGATCAATGAGCTGACACTGGTGAGACCGAATGTTCCTCCACTCACTCCTTCTTCTTCTCTCCCGACTGCTTCTCCCACACGACCCACTGCGACTCTTCCCTCCCGCAGGAGAACCAGCGGTTAAAACAGGATCTGTTGAAGTCTCAGACCAAAGTGGCCTGTCTGCGCAGCGAGATGGACTCTCTGAAGACGGAGCTGACCGATCAAAACATCAGCTCTGAACGGTGATCTTTGATCTCGTCTAATCGGGGTTTTCTGCTCTTATGTAAACTGTGTGTGTGCGTGTGGATAAGTTATCTCCACTCGCGTTGAGTTTAGCTTCCTTTCTTTCAGTCTTTTCCATTTTGTTTTGAGGTTAAATGTGAAGTACAGGCTTTGGCTTCTCTGTATATGATGAACACACATTGGGCAATTATTTTTGGAATTTCTCACAATGGGAATGAAAGTTATTGTATCATAAGACTACCCGCTTTATGCACGAATACTCACTCTTTACTTAAACTAAACCAGTGTAGAATCCGAACGTCTAAACCTACAATTAATGGGCTGGAGAACCGTTTTTTTATCTCCATTTTCTCAAATGTCTTAAAGACTTTTGTGAACTTCAGAGTAACAGAAACTCTTCTCTCTCCCGTGTAGAAAGCCTCACTGTTTAGACATTTTTCTGCAGAGCAAAAGGAAATGACAGAGAGAAAGAGGCCATCTGACGCTGCATTTGTTCCCGGGGGGTGTTTTCATTTTGTCACAGCTGAAACAGGATATCCTAGAGTGACTGCACACACACACACACACAATGACTTCTTCATAAGCGTTACTAAGCGACAGAAGCAACAGGGCCACCAGCAGGACGGCCCTCCTCCTTCTCTGGTGTCTCCTTTTGAATCACAACTTAAACAAATCAATTGACATGATGTAAAACAATTCTCTGGTTTTACTGACAAGTAGGATAAAGCCTGCATACACACAGCATGGAGCATGGCAATATCTTTCCTCCTAGCCTTTGTCCGTGTTTTAAAGTCAGTGAATTGGTGTAGTCCATGTTGTGTGCATGACATGTGGGTCACTAAAGGAGAGCTTGGTATGACTGTGATTGGTCTTTTATTTGTTGGTGTTTTTGCTGCAGAGACGAGGAGCTCATGAAACACTTCTCTGATGAGCGAGACATCCTGGAGAGACAGATCGAGATCCTGCAGTAAGTCACACAGCATCACGATGTATCAAACTAACTAATGTGTGAGGGTTTGTCCAGTAGAAACGGAAAAGAATGTAGCTGTACGCAGATTCAAGACAGCAAAAGAAATATGTTGCAGGATTGATATACCGATGATCTCTCCTTCTAGGGCAGCCAACAGGAAGCTGAATGACAGCAACGATGGGCTGAGGGCGGCCATGGAGAGGACCAACAGGGTAAAGCTGCACTGGTACTCGAAGAATAATCAAGACTAAAAACTGATTTGTTTCCCAAATTGAAAGTGGTTGAAGGTATTTCATCCATCGGGTCCGTAGACTAAACTTATTATTCTGATGGTTATTTATGTACATAGTAACTTTCCTTTTGGGTAATTTCTCTGTTTTTCTTTTTTACAATCTCTGTTTATTTATTAAGAGATTAATGTTTATTTACTGTGTAATAGGCCTCTTCATCAAACATGTATATTTCACTTCAGCTCTCTGTACTGATTGAAAATGTGATAATGCATTTTTAGATATTTTACACAAGAAAGAGAGAACAGTCAAATTGAGAGTTGGTTCGAACTATGACAGTGTGACTATTTTTAATTTCCAGGCAACCGCGAAACGATGCAAACCTAATTTTCTAATAGATTTCCTGTATTTTCCGTATTACAGTCCAGTAACGACGGATCACCAGCAGACATTAGGGAACGAAGCAGAAGTAAAAGCATCTGCCACACGTCACCTTATGCACTAACTGATCGGTAAGTCACGCTAAAACACAGCTAATTGTTAAGAACTGTTCAGGAGTCTCTAGTAACTTTAATTGTTTAACTGTCACCGTACCTCCAGCAACTTGGATGAGTGCCTCCTCTTTAAGTACGTAAATGCTAAATCAGTTATTATTTTCTTAACAGGTTAATTAATCATTTGAGAAACTGTCAGGGTCGTCGAGACCTTACAGTTTATCAGTTGCATGGAGGCGTACTGTGAGTTGGGGCAGTGTTTGGGTGGTTATGTTATCTTTTCCCGTGATAGCCAGCACTTTTTAGGATTTGTGCTCCCACCATTAACCCAAGGCGGTCACAGGTGGCTGATCACTTTATGCTGACAGAATGTTGTTGCATTGATTACTCTGGACTAATGGGTTCCAACTGCTTTCCCCCATTATGCTGAGGCAGATATCTCAATACTTACACAGAGGAATATGAAAACCGTCCGATCGGCTGGGTGCCACTAGACATTGGCCTGCTTGTGTTTTGTGTCACAGATTATTTCCTGAACCTCTTCCTCAGGTTTTGCCAGCGCATGGAAGACTTCCCCATCTACAGCCGTCGACCCAGCTGCGACACGCTGGCCTTGGCCATGTGTGACCCGGGCATGAGGCACAGGCACAGCAGCGAGTGCGAGGAGGACAGCCTGCCCGAGATCCAAACGGACAGCGGCCTGTCGACGCTCAGGCGTTCCCACGGAGGCTACGATTCGGAGCAGGAGGTCAAAAGTCAAGAAGAAGAAGAAGAGGAAGAGAAGGAGGGAGAGAGTGAGGGGAAGATAGGGGAGCCCGACAACAGCGACAGCCTAACAGGAGAAAACTCTGACACTGAGGTAAGAGTGGACATTTGGTCAGGAACAACTCTGTGAGGCTGCAGCGCGATGTCATCGGAGCAGGAACGATGTGCAGTTCAATACGTCATCCTTAAACGTCTGGTTTTGTCCACAGCTAGAAAATGTTAGTATAAAAAGGAGCACATAATAGACAATATTATGTCTTCACAAAATGTCATGCTCACCTTGTTATTTCAGCAACAACAAGGTGGTTGAACCAGAGACGAGTAATGTCGTGGCAAGAAATTGAAGACTATTTAATATAGAGGAATAAAGTTGACGGAAGCGTTAATGAGCCAATTTGAAAAAGAAATGTGCATTCTTTCAAAAAAATAAACTCATGTTTCCAGCTTCTGTGCAAGTTGTTCTAAAGCGCATTGTGTGTGTGAGTACATTGTTATATTCATGGATTCTACTGTGTGCCTACATCGCAGCCGGCAGACAATCAAGACAGTGAGTCGGCATTCGGGTCAGAAAGCAGCTCCGTTTTGGACTGGAAACCATCTGAATCCATTAGTGTGCCCAAAATTCCAGCCCCAACCACACGGAAAGCCCTGAGTGCCATCAGTGTCCAGGTGAGAGGGAGACAGTCGTGAGAGACTGGGGAGTTTGTCCCACAGCGACAACAAGCTGAGGCCGATGGAAGAAAACCTCATTGTCGAAAATGTATTTGGCAGCTGCAGACCAGAATCCTAATTTGGCACCGATTTTCATGGTCCTGACAATGTGTATTATATTGTGTGTATGTCTAGAGCTACTATCATGTCGAAATGCCGTTTTTACAGTTTAGCTCTATCACTTCAAAACACTTGTGTATTGTGTACCATGCAATTTCTAATTGTTTCTAATGGGGCTTAAGATGTTTAGGGATGTTTTAACACTTCCTGACCTGAAATGGGTCATAGATTCCTCTTCTCTACCGGAGCAGAACTGATTATGGACAGAGATAGAAAAGAGAAAAGCAACCGTTGCAAAATAGAAGACAAACTATATTTATCATGAGGTAAATGGGCAGAATATAAATGTCTCGCTCCGCCTCTCTGTCTGCTCTCCAGAAGGTGGACAACATGGACCTTGGCTACATGACATCAGAGAAGGCCTACAGGATTGTATTGGCTGGAGATGCCGCTGTTGGAAAATCCAGTTTCCTTCTTCGCCTCTGCAAGAACGAATTCAAATTAAATTCCAGCGCTACACTGGGTGAGTTGTTTGCCGTATGGTTTGTTAGATTACCAAAATGAATTGTCTTGTTCTCTCTTCCTTTACCTTTATCTCCCCAGAATTGCCCACTGATTTATAATTATTTTCTGCATATTTTCATATTTTCATCCACCCAGCAAGGCTCCTTTCTCTTCCTACCAGCTCAGGGTGTCATGTTGCTTGTGTCTCTTGTTTGTTCAGGAGTGGATTTCCAGATGAAGACTCTAGTCGTGGACGGAGATCCTGTTTTACTACAAATATGGGACACAGCAGGACAAGAGAGGTGTGTGCTGGTGTGAACACAATATTATTATTTGATCTAGCTCGCTTTTCATTTACAGATGTATTTTGAAGACTTTATTATAACCTGCAGTGCTCCTGAGAAGTTATAGCAATGCACACATACAACACTGCACATGGACATACAATACTTCTAATAATAACAACTATAATAATAGTCATTCTTTTTTTGTGCATAATGAGCTACTTTCTCCCCTCATCCAGGTTTCGCAGCATTGCAAAGTCGTATTTCCGCCGGGCGGATGGTGTGTTGCTGCTGTACGACGTCACCTGTCAGAAGAGCTTTCTTAACGTCCGGGAGTGGGTGGACATGATAGAGGTAATGCAACATGACCGACATTGTTTTTACTGAGCAAAGTTACAGACCTGTAAAGGAGAAATTCATCCGCTGTTGTTATTACATGTTGTATCAGCATAGTGCGTCACATGCTCTATTTGAATATCCATCTAAGTGATCTTGCTTTTTCTCTCTTTTTACATGCAGCAGATATGTAAGTGTTGGAAGTGCATTGTTTGGATTGTGCGCCTCTGTTAGTTGTTGTTGTTGTTGTGATTTGTTGTTTTCTGATATAATGCGCTGTGTGCTGTCTGTGGTGCTTATTGTCAAACCAGTTGTTTCAGTGTTTTCATACTGCACAATACAGCAGTTTACCATATTTAGGTACTCTGCAGTATTTTGTTTTCCTTTCATTTGTTTTTTTCCTCTTCTTGGCATAGCAGGATGTTTCCCAGGAGGATATTCCCATCATGCTTGTGGGTAATAAGTGTGATCTTAGACCAGATAAAACAAACTGTGTTCCTACCAGCTATGGAGAAAAACTGGCTATGGTAATGACAAGTTTACACCTTACATTATTTTACTGTACTTGTACTATATTTTAGGGACGTAATGGCTAAAAACATTTGGTACACTGCCTACATATTCAAGAGCTTCTTAGTTTAATCCAAATTTCAAAGTCAAATCAAAGTATCTCTATTTTTGTTGTTTGGTGGAGGGTTATGACTGGAAATCAACAAAATATGGAATGAAAACGGAACAATTGCCCTTATTCACCCCACAGACATACAACACACTGTTCTGTGAAACTAGCGCCAAAGATGGCTCCAACGTCCTGGAGGCTGTGCTGCACCTGGCCAGGTGAGAAACCACTAATTTACTCACCTTTTGTTCTTGTTGTACTTTTGAGTCTTCACCTTGCAGGAAACATTTTAGTAAGTTGTTCTGTTTAAAGAAAAAAGGTGCAACTAATAAATAAGTGTCCTCGGATGTGCTCTTGTGTTGTATTTGAGGAAATTGGAATGTCTTAGTGGGGCATTAGAATAAGGAATTACGTTTAAGGCCAACCTTAAAAACAGCAAATGTTCTTTTTGCTGAGCTCCTAATTGTGATATTTGCTGCCCTCTAGTGTGTAAAAATAATACCAACGTGAATGATGCAAAGGAAAATTAAGATGCGTTTACATTCACAATGTATCCTCAAGGTAAATATTTGTTCCACCTCTTTTCCTTTCTACCTCTTAGGCAGGTGACCAAAAAGGCTGCATTTGATGACAAAGGTTACGATCAGTCGCTGCCTAACCTGGATGCTCCCAGGAAGAAACCAAACTTCTCTTGCTGCACCTGATCAGGTTCATCAGAACTGCACCTCGTCACAGGTGATTCATGGACTACAAATGCAGAAAGACTGCAGAAATGAGACGTGATCTCTGCAAAAGTAAAGTGGAGCAAATAACAAAACAAAGAGGATCAAATCATCGTCGTGCATAACCCAAATAATTCAGTAAAAATACAAAAACACAAATGTGCAAACAATCACAGGATCCCATCAGAATACTCACAACTTGTCACGTCAGTTCAGATTTTTATTCATACATGTTATATTGAGCCGTATTTAAGCCACAACTTGGAGTTGAACTGTGAGCTCATTCATGAATGTTTAAGTCAGTGCAAACCGCGTGGAAGTTATGTTCATTTTCTATTGCGCTGTTACACATATTTGCAGAAGTTCCTTCCTCGTAGGATTTGTTGGTTTTTCTGGCAATTGCGAAGACACCGCAAGTTCAAAAGAGAAAGATTGCGTGTGAAATGCGTGTGACGGATTTAGTAAGTAAAGCCAGGTGAGCATATTTATGAAGTGGCTTAAGTATGTAAGACAAATACCTGCAGGAGATGATTACAGCTCATTACAATTTGAAGTGAATAAGGCAAAGAGACTAGATTATTATTTGGTCATGCTATTAACGGTGGCACTTTTCTAATTTGCTCTGTTATGACCAGTGTTTGCGTTAGGAGTTTGCGTCATCAAGAATGTCAATCTATATTACATGGCGACACTAAGAATTAGGGGAAAACTTAAAACAAAATCTTCAATTTTGTTTATATACAATGAACCCTGTTGCAGTGTTTATTGTATGGTCACAATCCACTGTCCACTGTTTGTTATATTACTCCACAGTGTTACATTTATTTTCCTCTGACTTCCCACTGGGGGTGTCTGTTATATAAGTTGTATGATATATGATAATGATGATAAATTTTCATGAATGTGTTGTATAACAATCTTTAATTATATTTTCTGGAAAATGATGATTCCGCTGAAGGGCTGAAGGGCTGTGTATAAAAGAATCAACATGCTTCAAATCAAATGCTCAAACAGCACCTGAAACTAATCACCACTAAACTTAATTTAGTTCGCAATTGTGTACCCGTGTTTTTATAACTTAATTTATTCAACTTCTAAACAAATGGTAGATAATACGTGTCATGTCGAGCTTCACTTCAAATGTTACATGAAACAGAAGAAAGGAAAAGAGATAAGAGAAAAGAACCATCAGATACAGTCACATGATTACATAGCAAATATAGAAACCATGTATATGTAATGTAATATACATAAACGTCAAATTACATACATTACACAGCACTTTTTTCAGTATTCACTTAATTGCTTCTGGCTCTCGTGGTTTACGTACAATTGTGGGCCCACACATTTCATTTGGATTTATCACAGAAATTTGATTTTTATTTACAGATCTAATCAGGAAATGTGATACAAACATTACTCACAGTCCATGAGGGAGGATAGTTTGACATAAAACTAAGTGGAAAAAATGTCTCTGCTTCAAAGCAACCTACAAACCTCAGCATTGAATTAAAGCAATGCAATCAAACAATATAAAGTATTTCTTTACTTTTCTTATAATCATCAAAATGTATTTAAGTAAAATCGTGTTGTGGGGTGATTATAGACATTAACACATGCAGCCTTAAGGGGGCAGAGTGAATCGTCCTTTAACCATCCGGTTGTCTGCGTGTCCAAGTGTCCTGAGTGAGAAACTGCAAGTTCCCCCCGGGTTCTTTACAGCAGCTTACTGCTCCTAAATGCTGTGGAATGGTCAAATGCAGACTTTTCATTTCATGTAGGTTATGTGTATGACAATTCAAATAAAGTTTAAGTTGGTGTTTACGCTTCTTTAGAGTTTAATTCTAACCTATTCAATAAAAAAAAATGTCCATTTTGTCATCTGCCACATCTGCTATGTGTGCCCACATAACAATTGCTAAATAGCCACAAAGAAACCGCATGACCGTAGACGCTATCAGAGGTTATTTGTGCTGTAATGACCTCAAACTTGGCCCAAGCTGCGCTGCAGTTCCCCTCCTCTCCCCTCAACACCAGATGTTGTTGAACTGGAAGTGAAGTAGGTTATCTCTATATGTCATTCCATAAATCATACCAGATGTCTCCGATGTCACACACAGGTTTGTGAAGAGCTGAAGCTGGGCTCTAAGTGGGTTTCTCCGGCCTTTAACCATCTTGTTCTTTTTTTGTTTTTGGAACCTGAATTGACCACATTTGGACAAGAGGGTGGACGTCTGTCTCTCATACAAGAGCAATCTGCACCCCCACCATAAAGGCATGGTTGCAAAAGCCCGTCCTGTTAGCCATACTCCCTGAGCGTCTGCAAGTGTCTCTGAGCGCGGCTGTTTGAATAAATGCAACATATGTTGGGGATTTTGCCCTGTGTGTGCGTGTGCGTGTGTGAGAGTGCTTGGAGCTGGCACGGGTCCCTGTCTCCACCTCCCATCTGTTTACATTGTTGTGTGCTTGATGAGGCGAGACCACTCATTTGTCAAACAACATGTGGGGTAGTGGAGGTGGGGACGGGGTTTGGGGGTGTAGCAGCTGAGAATGGTGTGTGTGTGTGTGTGTGTGTGTGTGTTTGTGTTTGTACGTGTGTGCTCAGCAGTAACGGGGGGATAATTAGATAAGGGGACTGTCTAGCAGGAAGGTTAATGACAGTAATGAATATATCAGTGTAGAGGAGAGAGAGCAGGTTCTGTTTGGATTTATCAGGTAGAATAATGATAAAAATGTCATCTGCATTTGTTTAACAATTCCCCAAATTGGTGATATCTGTGAATGTTGGATAAGACTAGAGATTCAAGCAATTTAAACCTTTGTGGCACATCTGTCACACACACACACACACACACACACACTGATGGAGGGAGTTCCCCATCTGGAAAGATCAGAGGTGGGAAAACGGGACCACTGGTCACTCTGATGACATCAGTTACGACACACTGTCTGTCCAAATCGACATCCAAGTCGGACACACACAAGTTAACATACACATCCACCACTAACTCACACAAACGCACACACAGTCCGGTGCACGTGATGGATATCTGTCATATTGTTTGTCACGTCTGGTTTTGATGAAGTCATCAAAGACATAAGCCCTCGCGGCAATATCTGGCCGCCTGGCGTATATTGTGTGTGTGTGTATGTGTGTGCGTCTGTGTGTGTGTGTGTATTGGGGAGAAACCGTATTCATTGGGTCATATCAGTCTCAATACTGAATAGGTTCTGTTTCACTCGTAAATAGATTCTATAACTTGAACAAAGAAACAAAGAGGAATATTGTCGCTACGTCTTTAGCAGGAATCCTGTGGTTTAATACACTTAATGGAACCTATTTTGATCGGTAGAGGTTGGAAACCCTTTTTGAAAAGTATTTTCCTGTTCAAAACGCACAGCTTGTTGTAAAAGGTTCTAACCTCCGTATAGTGGTTAATGCTATTACACTTCAGCAGGCAAGAGGGCAGCAACCTACTATAATACAAGACCTTCTTCTCCTTCTACCTTAGTCCTGTAGCATTAGTGTTTCATGTTCACACACACATATTAAAGGTTTTATTATTAGTAATAATGTTATTTGTATGCTAAAGTTTAAAGCAACTACGTATTGAATACTTGACATTTCCTGGAAAGCTTATGTTGAGACTGTATCAAACAAAAAAAGATAATGGCTGGAACGTCACATGGGAGTCGAGACGTCTTGAGCTGAGTTTTTAATGTTGAACATGTGAAACATTCTGTGGACTTCATCCTAAAGGACATTATTAAGTGTCAATGTAAAGGACAATGTTGCGTCTGTCGTTGTTCACCATCAATGCTAAAATATGACAAAACAAGTTTGAATCAACGTGTGTTAGAATCACCGGGTGTTAGTTGGATTTAAATTCTACCGTCTGATTTAGTGGAAAGCCAAAAATGTGCGCAGGTGTATAATAGTACATTTACAGTGGTAGAAATCCAGAATATGAAACAGACGAGCCTCAGTGTACTCAACTCCTCTAAAACAGTTATGAAACTGCAAAGCAGTTATAACAATGTATTTTAATTCAGGACGAGGAAATGTAGTGTTTTAACAGGAAGAGACTGCAGTTCTGTTTATCTCAAAGACGGCTCAGTTAACTGGAGACGGACGTAATCTGACAGAGATTACCATGATTAGGTCAATCTTGTGTGTTTGAATTTGAGTGTGAGTGCACATCTGTGTGTGTTGCAACTGATATCTAAATGTCTGGTAAGATCCTGAGTAGATGTGACAGTATTTGACGGGTATTCTTCACAGTGTCTAAACTATGTTTGGTTGATGTCTTGTCAATAAACAGTGCGTGTCCATGGAGTCACTTCTTATAAACTAAACACCCTTCAAATTAGTGTCCCTTTCTGTGGCGATATTCCCACTGGAATTTGAAATTGAAAATAAAAATGTGATTTAGTGCGGTTATCTGAGTCAAAGGGTGATGAAACAGGTTACCGACGATTCACTCCCTTTGTGAGTCCGCGCACAAAGCCAGCACCCACTGACACAATGGCCGTCCAAGCCCTCACAACAAGATGTAGAGATATCATCGGGAAACGGTATTGACATATTGACCGCGCGCGAGGGGAGACGATATCGACTTGTTGTTTAGGGATTTAACCTAGATTTGATTTTGAGGTGGCATAAGTAGAGGGGATACTGCAGCTGTGTCAGATGTTTTTCTCCTTACTTAGAAAGTCCATCACATTGGAAACATAGCACATTTAATATATTTCACTAGTTTTTTAACTAACTAACACACGATGATGGTATTCTCACACACGTTCATTCAAACCTGCCAAAACTGAGATCACCAAGGGCAACGTTTGCATTTTATTTGGCTGCAAAAAAGCATGTTGTACAGTCATGTGTGTCATTGCAGCGAAATGGGGTTCATTTGCTCTCCCTCTCTCTCTCTCTGTGTCTCACACACACACACGTACACACATACTCTGCTTCTTTCATTTTGCCTGATGGTTTGGTGGCCTGCTGTTTTTCTGTACTCAATTACACTAAACAAGAGACAATGGCTTATACACACAGACACACACACACTCACACACACTCACAACACACTTATCAAGTGATTAACTGTCAAACCGCACAGCCAGAGTTCAGCAAAGGTCAGGATTGATTTACATAGACAGATGGAGAGCCCCATTAGAGTGCCTGCGTGCATGTGTGTGTGTGTGTGTGCGGTGTGTATTTCTGTGTGTGTGTGTGTGTGTGTGTGTGTGTGTGTGTGTGTGTGTGTGCACACTCCCCTGTGGCGCTACAATGTGCATCTAGTTCACGTTACCATAGAAACGATGAGGTTGCTGTACATCATGATAATGGGGTCATGGCACAGTGAAAGGTCAAAGGTCATGGGTGGCACGATGTGTGTCTGTGTGTATCTGTCCTGAGGGGAAATTCTTACAATGTGAAAACGTTTTGTGTGCAGTCAACCCAAAAAAAAGCAGCTCGCAGTTTGAAGCCATTTACAAGTCAAAGATTTCAGAGATTGTATTCAGACAATTTGAGGGATTCAATTGAGCACAATAGAGTGTTAGAAAACGTGCATCAGTTTGTATTCTGGGCTTGGAATTATGAGGTATTGTTGATTTCTTCCACACTCCTGAAAAACTGTAACATAACATAAGTTTATGGTCTCACACCCGAGTTTCAAGTCTTTCTTCAAAAGCTGATACGAGTTTAAAATGAATGAAGTACCCTTTGCAGCACTTGCTTTGCTTAGTTACGTGTGTCTGGTCCTTTCCAAATGTATGTCATGTATTATCTTACTGGTGTTACTCTGTTTTTGTTCATTTGTTCAACAATCAACACTATTTTGTGTCTGTTTTCCATGTTTCAGTTTTATTTGTCTCTCACTATTGCAAAGCGCTCAGAGACACAATTACACAATAATTAGGGTTGTTGTTGTTGTTGTTGTTGTTGTTATTAGCATCGTAATGATCGTCACACTGCTGACCGTACATTTGAAGTCTGTATGTTCACACATGACCCTGACCTGTCTGATTGTCTCTTCTCCAGCATGAACATCTTTGCTTCTGCAAAGGATAAAAGTGAGGCTGATGTGATTCTCATGTGCCTGTGGTTGTGTGTGTGTGTGTGTGTGTGTGTGTGTGTGTGTGTGTGTGTGTGTGTGTGTGTGTGTGTGTGTGTGTGTGTGTGTGTGTGTTTGTGTGTGTTTGAGTGGTGAGAGAGAATAGCAACAGAGAGAGAGAGAGAGATAAATGCTGCTGTCGTGCTGTGCGGTGCGCTCCGTCACTTTGATAAATCTCACAGCGGGCTGACAACACCTGCTGACGGCACACTAAAATCTGATTGGCTGGAACGGCTCCAGGTCAAAAGGATGCTAATGGGTAGGATGTGGACAACAAATCGCACACAGCAATGGAGACACTGAAACGTGAACAAATAGGACTATCCTGCAAAGACGTGTACAGTATGTGGACACACAATCAGCCCGCGTATGACTTTGTGTATATCATTAGCATGGCCATTACACCTAATGAGTCATCACTCTCGCGCACCTGAAAATCAATTATTTCACATCATGCAGCTAAATGGTTCCTAATAGACAATTAGACTGCTAGCAATGAATGCAGGAAGCACAAATGTTCACTTAAACATTACACACAAACACACGCGTACATCAAGCAAGCAGTGCGCAGCACCGTCTTTGCCTTTACACACGTGCTTCTTTTGAGCATCGCCGAGCAATAAGTACAATGTGATTTCATTTTTACTTTCATTTGTTTGGAGATAAATCACAGCTGAGAGAGAAAAATCCAGAAAAGAAGAG